AGGACACCGGCAAAGTTGAGGGGTCACCCCAGGAGCTTGTCTCCTCATCTAGAAGGATTTGGGGGTGGATAAGAGAAGGGCAGTTAAGAGATTTTGAATCTGTGAGAAATTCTGCATTTGAATGATTGTGAGTGTTTTGTGAATGCATGCATGAGGAACCCGCATTCATGTTGTTTTATTCATACAACAAGCAAAAACTTTAATGGCCTATAATTGTCCAGGCATGGAAACGCATTTGTCAGCCAGCGGTAGTCCAATCTCTTTTTGGTACAGTATTGTACAAACTAATAAATTAGGTTTTATTACATATTTATTGGTAATATATCTGCCTGCTCATCTCATTTACACTCATTGCCTTAAACCACGAAACTGAACTTAACCAAGTTTTTAAAATCTCACTTGAGGACTCAGTCATGGCAGAGTATGTGATCAGCTTATGTCTGGTGAATGTTTAACAGTTGCACTTAATCTGAATCGAGATGCGCACAGATTGAGCTGACAGAACGACAAAACAGTGATCCATAGAACAGAAACTCACATTTTACTGTTAGTCTAGACATAAACGTGCACAACCAAGAAGTACAGAGTTCCTGTGAAATGACAAGAGAGACCCCCTGTGGTGACATTGTGAACTGAGCGTGGAAGACATCAGTCGGAGAGCTCTCACTATAAAAGGAGTTGCAATTAAGTTAAAGAGTATAATTACTTTGACTTTAGATTATTTCAACATGAGCGTAGGTGTTGCCAATTTATGGTGAGCGCATGACAAACGTGGCAGTGCTTCATTTGGTCATATTCAACTAAGCAAGTGAGTCACTTGCTTAGTTGAAAGCAACCAAGCAAAAGAAACACTTCAGATTTGGATTTCCCATTTAAACTGAAAGCTTTCCGTTCTCAAAATGACAACATAATTGCTCCTCTTATAGAAGCTGTAGGTGTATAAAAGCTACCGTTAAAGCTACTGACTTAGAAATAACTTCGGTTTGGTGCGTGGAAATTCAACACGACCCGATTAAATCATTCGATTACCAAAATGAACGACCTTCAAAATTTCGCTTATCATAAATAGCTCCACTAAGGTAGAAGTGACTACATTGCAGAGATGCTTCCCATGCTCCATGGTCTCAAACGATGTCCGGATTTACCGCCACACTGCGTAAAACTCACAATTTACAAACAACTGTGCATGCCATTTCCACATGCCGCTTCTTACCTAAGAGCAGAAGAAAGATGCAAACGCACATCCACACAGTGTCAGACTTCATATTGGACTCAGTGGAAAGAGAGGGCGAGGGTCCAGTCACACTACTATCTCCACCTCTTGGAAAGGTTAATTCCCTTCTCCGGATCCTTGACCCAGGCGAAAGCTAACTGTGGAAAACCAATATCCTCATTCAAAACCAAAACAAACAATTGTCCCCCAAAAGAAAAATCCTCGACGCCCCTGCAAGAGGATAATCCACAATTCTTTTTGACTAATTCACTAGCCACAAGACAGAAAAAAACCTTCTGATTCTGAAACCAAAAAAGAAAAAATCAGATGCAATCAAACAATCAGTGTCTTAGTCAATCCATGAAAGCTGTTTCTTGGGGTCCGTCTGTGCTGCGTTCATACCGACAAACTACTGGGACTTGGTGTGTCCGCATCATAGGGCGCAGACCGCTCACTCCTCTTGCCCCTTGGAAACTGTTTGTCCCCTGAAATAGTCTTTCAACTGCCTTGAAATAATCTGTTCGTTATGCGAGGATATCTCAAGAGGTGAAGGAACTCATCCGAAAGTGCAACAAACCGCTGCACTGGATTTCCTTTTTCTCCAACCACTGTCTCCCTGGCAAAGCCGTGCGCTCCCGTGGAAGGAGTGAACGCTCCTTTTTCACTGACTGCATGCGTGTCGAAGCATCGCAGCACTTTATAAAGAGCAGCTTCTTTAGGCCAGCAGGCGGCGCTATCGGGACTGATCCTTTTTGGAAAGAGTCGAACACACGGACACGCACAAAGACCCAATGAGAAATAAAAACTTACAACAGATCTATGGGCAGATCATAGTCATTTTACAGGCGAGTGGGATTGGGTGAGCACTTGTATTCGTGTTCCAGTGCCACGTTGGTTTCTTGGAAACCATAATTCTGTCAAACTTTCATGATCCCATGTGATACAGGGGTGTCTTGACATCTTGCTACACTCCAAGGCTCGCATTAGAGATGAAATCGGAACCGCATGTGGGATAGACTGTTCATACAAAGTAAGACAATTCAATTTTCTGTCACACAATAATGCTATTGTTTAAGATTTTAGTGAGAACAGATGACACCAGGGTCTGTCTCTTGCAACCAAGATGACATTTGCAAATGATTTTCCAGCACAAGGTTCATGGGTGCATGGCAAATGATGATGAAAATGTCACCATTCATTTCAGAGATCTCTGAACGCTTCAAAATGTATGTTTCCTCAGATTGAAAAAAAAAGACAAAAAGGACAGGGGGAAAAATTCTGTCTCTCATTCTTTCTGCCCAATTTGTGTTCAGAAGCAACAGCCAAAAAGCCCGAACAGCAGAAGCTGCCATATTTAAGTGTCATTGCATCAAACAATCTGACTTTGTTGTGCATTATTGCTTCAGTTGTGCAGAGAATGTCATAAATCTTTACAACCCCAGAAAACAAAGTCTCCATTTAGAGGTTCTGACAGTGAAAAACTGCATGGCCACCGGCTCATAATGATGTTTGATTGTCAGCCTAGGCATCTTTCCAAGAGGGAAAAGAGCTCACCATTATAGGGGTGGGAGCAGACTGATTCTGCCTGTATTGGTCTTGACTTGCTCTTGCCCCTTGAGTTTGAAATGGCTGTATTATTAGGTCACTATAGAATTACCAACCTCCATAATCATGTTATGAATTAGTGCTTTGTATATAGAGGTTTGATATGTATTCTTCAGGTCTAAAGTAGAACCGTTGCGTCTGAAATCTCCATGCTGTTGCATCTGTTTGAAATGCCAGACCGAAGTGATTACTGTATTTGGCCGTCTTTAATAAAATTAAGATCAGTTACACAAACTGTATGAAGTTTACAGTGGAAGAAGGTTCAGATAGCAGTAAAAATATATCACAGAAAAAGAAAATGACTTCGGCTTGCAGAAAAAACATTAGCTGCTCACGCTGTGAGCAAAAGAGTGAATTTCTACTAGAATTCCTACTGAAACATCACACTGTCAGCTCACATCATGCAGCACTGGAAAAATTCTCTTCTTACGTTCATCTTCTTTATAAGGTCCAAAGTCAGATTTTATTCCCAATGAAAGTGCATGTTTCCCAATATCTTTGGGTATCTAACTGCTCCATTCTGACCTCTTAAACATTTACAGCTTTTTTATGTGTGCAATTAGATTACATCCACAGAGAAAGATTCACATTTGCAAGGCTCTGCATTGGATGCTCTTACCTTAATGAACATACACTGATGAGCACCGGAGAAGCGTGACATGGACAGTCACACACATGGATGTACCAAATCTATATGCCAGATAGCTGTGTTGCTATAGGATCGTTCAAGACCGTGACAGCAGGGGGTGACAAATCCGGATATAGAAGACAGTGTTCTCACCATGGAGACAAATCACTTGCTGTCTCAGAGAAGTGTCTCTAATATGGTGAATATAGATGGTAGCATTATAAATTCATGGGATATGAAATAATGATACAGATAACAGTCAAAGTTAAGACTCAGTCCAATAGCTTGTGCTGAGTGGGAAGGCAGGCGGCTCAGTCTTGCTCTCATGGGTAAAATAATGGCTTACACTGTCCAAAACTGCCACTTTGGAAAAGGAACAGGCACACTTTCAAAGGGAACTGCGTCCTGTACACTTACATGCTGTAATAGTTTCAACCTGATGGTTCCAACATACAGTCTATGACCATCGAAGCCTTTAATATCCTGGCAAACACCTTGAGTGAAACCCCGACGCCCATGCTCCACGTTTCATCGAACATCTCCTTAAATTACAACATCAGGCAACCCTGCCAAGGCTTTGCAGGGGAAGAGTCTGGCCCAACCACAAGTCAGTGAATTTTCTAGGAGCAAATGTTAACGTATCTTTCTCTGCTGGTCACACCCTTTGGAAACAGTGCTAATGAACCTGGGCATTCAGTATGCACTCACACTAGCACACACACACACACACACACCCTCACAGAAGTGAAGCATGACTGATCAGATTAGGAATTACAGGCTAATTAATGTGTGTCTTGGGAAACCTGCACTGAATATATATTAGGAGGCAGGGTTGAGCAGAGCAGGAAGACAGACAGACAAAAGTTTTGCTAATTTCCAATGATGGGATAGAACTAAAGTTTAATGCCAGAACTAATTTGAACATTGTTTTATAGCTGTTCTCTATTCTGTTTGATTAAGTTCAGTGTAATATTTAATAATAATTACTTTTATTTAAGATTGAAACAATGCAAATTTGACAAATGAAAAATATTAAAACCGTAGCATCTTTTTGATTAATATCTCTGAAACATCTCATTTTATCAACGAAATGCTTCGAATCAACAAAGGAAAATGCCTAATGAAGAGAAGCGTCAGGAAAAATTAATCCTGCACACGGTGGAATGACAGCAAGTGCAATATCCCATTTTGAATTGTGACCGTATTCTGTTCAGCTCAAACCTCAAAGCAAAGAAAGAACAAGTTTCTTTTGTTCACATAAAGGGTCCTAAATGTGAGTGTTTATACGTAACACAACTTTGTTTTAGGTTGTAATGTGACCTCCTAGACTCTCTGGAGACTATCGACCAGTTAGATCCATTTGTTTTCCAGGCATTTCAGACATTGTCCATTTCTATCACATTACTTTGACAGAAATTGAATTTCCTCTTATGCATTTTTATGTATCCTAAGTGCTATTCTTTTCTCGCTGGGACTATAGCATTTCCAGTAATGTGATGATAAATAAACACTAGCAGGAAAAAAAAACAAATGTTATCCTAATGTGTTTATTGGTCTTAATTTGTTATAGTCCTCCTAAAATACAAGCTTGTCCAAATATGCACAATACATACGATGTTCAGCTTGCTGTGGATAGAGCTATTTCAAATTTTCAAAAGAGTGCACATGAAAAAATGGTCAGCGTGCTGCTGGCGCACAGGGATCTGTCTTTTCATTTCTTTTAACTACAATACCAAAATACAGTGAAAAAATACGTGAGAGATGTTGGTTTTCCCCTTTTTTTATTTCTTTTCTTAATCTCTTAAAGCATATTCATGTTGTAAACAATGGCAAAGATACATTCTATCGTGTCGGAGAAGTGTTCAGTTGCTGGCACAATTTTAGCAATTTTCCACCGAATTGCAAACCGCAGCACATTTATCCCATCGTGTTGAACACCCCATGGGTCCCATATGGAATGTTGACATGGACCTCAGCCCTACCCAGCTCGGTGAAAGTCCTGGCATCCAGAACCAGAAGGAAGGTACTATTCTCCTGGAAAAGGTACACACAATTATATTGAATGTGTTATATAAAGAGACCCAGAGCAATTCGTCATTCTAATTATAAAAAATACAGGCATTCTCCAAATTGTATAAACCATTAATATCAAAACTGAGATATTTATGGTCAAGACAATGAAAGCGTATCCTTTTCTTGAGTGTAGGTGTGTTGTTGAATTACTTTTCTTGGCGTGATGATGACTGACAGGACCACTCCATCATCTTCATCAGTAGCGTCGGGAGAAGCAACAAAGACTGGCTCAGAGGGATACAAACCAGGATAACGCCACACCTGGAAAAGGGAGATTAAACAAACACACCCTTTACTCTGAGCTGTTTACTTTTAAGAAAGCAAGAAAGAAAGCTAGAAGCTGATGGAGGAACTTTGACGTTCTAATACTACGACCTGTTAACAATGAACAGTGAACTTAGTCTATCTGTTGACTTCGAACCTTAAGCTCCTTGGTGTGGACGTCCATCTTGAGTAAGGAATCGGAAAAGACGTGCCCAAAGCCACATGCGTAGAAATAGCGGTACGGTCTGGCATTGTATCCGTCATAATTGATGTGCGGGAACTCAAGGCCACCGTACTGCAGCAGCTCATCATTGTGAAGCTCCTCGTGGGTCATGTAAACCTGTTGAGTTGGGATTGGATAAAGAATGGCAAACGCTCCACAAGCTTGTTAAGAATGTGTTAAAAAACGATCAACTCATTTAATTAAAGACGCTGGTGGGCAAACAAACTAGGGTCAACATTCCTGTGAAGAAAATGGATACCCGCAATACCACTTGTTCTGAAAGCCTCACTCAACTGAATCTGTTTGAACATATAATGCAGGATTTTCAACACGTATCTGACTCTTTCAGACAGTGGTAGCCAGAAGCTTTGACTCTAGAGCCGTCTTTCTGCTCTAACCTGCACAAAACACAGCTGAGATCTAAGGCTGAGCACAGTTGCTCTCAGGTCGCCATGACAACTGAACCATCAGCTTTTCTTTCAGCATTTCAGCTTTATTGTGTCATAAGAACAGTGGACGGCCAGTGTGTGCGGGGGCCACACATAAACTATTCAAAGGCAATTACGCACCTTCATGATGGACATTATTCTTTTCTGCTTTAAGTTGGGAAATTAGTGTTCAGCAGAATGTAACTTAAGTGTCTCTCCATGCTGGGTAATTGCAAAAAGGATGTGTGGGAGAACTGACTGTATTTACAATGATTATAGGTCTCATTCTTTACAGTTCGACATATTCCTTTGAAAATGCAATAACCATAAGGCACTGTGAAGAGTGGAAAATCCTACCTCCCCAGGTTTTGTTTTCTTTGCTGTGGCTTTACAGTGATGAAGAGTGACAAGGTTTTGGTCCAGAGGAGTTTGTTCATCCACATTAAGAGGCAGGACATATCTCCTTGGGAGGTTTCTGCACAATGAGTTGTAAAACTGCCAAAGAAAATTAGACGGAAATGAAAAACTGCAACTTGTGCGGCTCCTTTGAATGAAAGGTGTTATCCAATCACAGGGGCAATCAGACCCAAACAGACACAAAACGCTGACACAAAACCAAGCTTCTATGTTTTGATTAATGTAAATAATTCTTTCACATGGAAATCACAAACTATTTTGCAAGTTGTGCTTATCAGAAACTGACAAATTAAGGGGAAAAATACTCTTTGATGCAATTCAATAAGCTGAACCCAAAAGGCAGAAATTACCTCCCGATTAGATGACTGATTCATGTTTTGGGATATAAGGTGCAGAGTATTGCATTCTACCTGAACCGGTATTACACAAAACATATTTGTAGTGTAATTTTGTAAGCCAACACATCTATTTGAGCTTCTCTCTGATGGCAAACTGAATCGATTCACCTTGTCAATTTCTTCTCCCGACTCTCGTCGCAGGTTCTCCAGGGTGAAGTCTCCGATGACCTCGCCGTCATCCCCACAACACATGTCCATGACCAAGAACCCATTTTCCTCAAAAGCATTGATCTGATGCAGGGTGAACATTGGCGACGCGCAGTACTTCACTTTACTCTCCTGTTGGACAGGTCACATCAGGTAGTGAGGACTCAGACAGCCTTATCCAGGGTTATAAAAAGCTTTTCAACACACCGGGCTGCAGGTATGCTGTTCTCAAAGTCTACAGACAAGCACCCTTCCTGGAACAACTGATATTCTATCGCACCTGAACTTTTTGTTAGTTTGCATGCTTAATGGGTGTTCTGTGTAATGAGACGAAGAAATTGAGAGTTTGAGAGACTGAGCAAACGGCGCGTGAGAGCTACAGCATCTGAGTGTGACTTCATCAAAATAAATAAGGAAAAAATGTAATTGTGCATGACAAGATCAACATGCAGTTTTCCTCTTTTTGTTCTCATTTGAGCTACCTCTTCTACACTTTATTGCTCACACAGTAAATAATGTTGCATGCATAAGAAAGAAAATAACATTCCGATTTCTAAAAAAGCAAGATTTTAAAAGCAAAATAATTTCTTTTTATAACTGAACAATTCTTACAATTCCAAAATGAAAGAACACAAAAAGGTTTGTGCAGCCTTCTTTTACCAATAACACCTTAACTTCACAGTTTTTTTTTTTTTTTACCAGTTGTTAACCTGTTATGTTCTTGGGGATTTATTTTCAAGAATTCGTTTTCACTTTTTTTTTCACAACTGTAAAAAAGCTGTTTTTACACACCTTGCCCGTGTGCTTGTTGACCAGGTGGAAGATGGTGTCATACTGAGGCTCCCAAGACATCATTTTATGAAAGCTCTTTCCTTGTATCCTGTACAGCATGAACTTGAGGATGTTGAGCTTGATCGGCTGCTCAACAAAAACAATGTAGTTCTCTGACATTACTGGAAAAGAAAAACACACATGAGAGAAAAAGCCATGAAGAAATCATCCCAAATGCATTTGATTTGTAACATTATTCTTCCATGTGTCATAATTCAATATATAAATTCAATATATAAATTCTGCCTTTGTTGTTTTTGCTTATAGTTGAACCATCAACACAGATCTGATACTCATTTTAAATACAAGTCAGTGGAAAATTATTACCGGGAAATGTGACCAGTCAGTGGCCTGAGTCACTTATGTACCAGCTTGTAAACATAAAATTACATAAAGTGGGATGTTTATTGCAATTGAGGAGGGTTTGCAAAGGCATGCATCTTTTTACAAGAGCCCACACCTTCTGAGCTCGGGTTACAAATGAAATAATCCTTGCCACAGGAGCAACCTTTTCAGTCTCACAGCACTGAGGACAAACACAGACCCAAAATGTTGCTCGAACACATGTGACTCGGGCTGCACGTAACCACTGGAACTCTGCTGAGAAGTGTAATATGACTTGTCTTTGTAAAACTGTGCACTGTTTCCCAACATTCTGAATTTCCTGGTGCCTGAAAGTCTGGTGAAATAGGGTGGTCTGCTGCAAATGAGATGTGATAAGGGACCCTGTGTGGTGCAAAAGGAAAAATAAATACATGAATGAAGCAAATTAGTTAAAAAAAAATCGGAGAGCATTTGCTTTGTCTGACTGCCCTCTAGGTTTTCAGATCTCATGTAACGCTCTTTTAAACATTCCTCCTTCACCAGGAGCCTGCATATACTGCCACAGCCTTCCCCACTCCCTCCGCCTCCACTTTATGTGCAAAGCTTTTGATGCTGCTGACTTTTCTTAGATCCATGTTTATGTGTTTGTACATCAGGGACATCAGTTCTGCCCAAACCATGGCCGAGCTGGAACCACACAGAGCACGGCCTCAAACTGCACTGTGCATAAGCCATTGTACATTTGCAAAATTATTCAGGCAACAACATGTGGAGACGAGCAAAGATGTTGCCACAAGATAAACATACAAATTATTTCATCCTGTTGTTCTGGGAAATGGGTCGAGTGAGAAAGTGTTGCAAACAAACATCGCATCCATTGTCTCGTTAACAGATTCAATGCTTCCATGTGAGCCAGAAAAGCTGAGAAAAACTTGAGTTGATTGAATATGATTTGAAGGGAGAAAAAGAAGACATGCTGAATTAATCTACAGTGGAATTCTTTTCTGGAATTAATATAGAGTGAACTCAACAATGTTTTAGAGAAAATTCACCAACAGTGTGGCCAAAATGGATAAAGTCCTCGAGAATTTCTAAGATTCTATTCAATATTTGTCCAGCATGCAGACAACATAAAGCTGCTTGAAATGCTCAAGTGAATCTCACCAAAGCTGTGATAATATGAAGGTTTTCTGGGTTCTGCTGCACGGATGGAGCAAAGCACCTCAGCACCACTCAGGTCTGCTGAGTCTTCATTTGCTCTGTCCTTCTCAGGAGGAGGCACGCGGATGATGTTGTAGAAAAAACCTGGAAGAGGTCCAGAGACACATTGCGTCGTCATGTTTTCATACAATATTTGTTTGGATAACATAAGGTGGATCATTAGAACTTAAGACATGGTAAGTTTATCACTTAAAAATCTGCGTTCTTAGTGTGGGATAGTTAGGAGCAAGTTGATTATATCATCAGACATTTAATCAAATATACAAAAAAACAACTCGAGATGTGAAATAAAAAACCCTCCATTCATCCTACAGACATTCACCACAAAAACAGAGACTTTGTTTTAACTGGATCAGTTTGCTTTCACTGAAGCAGCCTTATCAGATCTGATTGTTATTGAAACGGGAGGCTGAAGACGTGTTTTCCTGTGGGTGAACGAGCAAACATTTACAGGTCTTACCGCTTTTGCCGAAGGAATTGCCCATGTTGTATGTGGCTCCATCACGGTCATAGTGCGGGTGAGCTGTAGCTGCGTTTACAGCAACATACTGACCCCAGTCCACCTTCCCTCAACAAAGAAAAACCACACAGTAGAAACTTCATTTCCTGACAATTTAAAACACAGCAAAACAACAACTTCCCTTTAATGTTAGTTGCTACCTTCTCTTTGGTCTCCAGGCTTTGTGGATCCACTCTTCTCATGTAGTTAGTTTCTGTGCTGACATAATAGTCTCCCTTGTACTTGACAAAGTTCACGCTGGCATTATCAGTGGCTTCTTCTCACACATATGGATGACAGGAACATATGGCGTTTCAGTGAGACTCATCTTTCTCGCAGACATCACCGAAACGGTGTCATAAATCAATTCTTTTTCGCCTTTGTTTTTCAGAGGTTTTATGTCATGTCACAGATTGATCTTTCCTTCACAGAATGCTCACACAATTATTGACTCAAGTTCCCTTTGCCTCAAAAAAAGAAAGGAATACATCAGCTTCAACTTGACCCACAATTGCATTTCTTCACATGTCACATGAAGTCAAGAATATGAAAACTGTGAAGTAAAATCAGTAGGTTTTGTTCTTTTTTGACAACATATCTGATTTTTTCTTGGTCTTTAGTTCTTTGGTCTCGCTACCTTGTTTCCTATGAATAGATAATGGTTTTATAATATATTTTCTCTGCTGTTGCTCAAGATTTCTCATCAAAAAGTGCAATGTTGTATAACAGGAAAACCTACTCGGTATCTGAAATCTTGAAAAGAAGCGCGCAAAGAGGTTCTTGCAGGGATCGGGCATGGCTAATGTCCCAAACTCTGAAATCACGATGCGGTTCTTCTCTGAGTTGAAGCAATACGAGTCGCTCCTGAGGAAGCGGCTGCTGTAAGTGACATTGCCTTCACAGATGTGAAACCGGTGCATCATGGCCATGCCATCAAACCAGTGGGTGTACCTGAGCGAGGAAAAAACACATTACATTTGTCACCAGGCTGCATGTGTGAAGGTAAAGTGGAAAAAGGAAAGTGAGTGCTGTGGAAAAAAAAAAATTGAAGCCCCAAAAATATTCATTATTGTTGTATTAGTCACTGTAGGTGGCAAGAATCAAACTTACATCCCAGATAATCCCAGAATGCAAAAACTAGATGTTTTTGTCAGAACTGCATTGCATTGTCAAAGTTTTAATATTATTTGAATCAATTACTTGTCTTCTCCAAATTCAAATTTCCCCGGACCATTTCTCAGAAAGCTCCCATTAATCCACTTTGGAATAGTTCCGCTGATGGTAGCAGGGATGGGATCAGGGGTTTCCTCCACAGAGGTGACCAAAGGTGCCAAGCCTTCGAGCCCACTGGCTTGTGGACATCGCTGCCTGCTGGACACTGGCAGAGGGAGGGAGAGCACATTCAAAAAAACATTTTAACAGCAAACAGTCAAATATTACAAGACATCACAGAATGATTTTATGAAGTGAAAGTTATCATCTCTGCTACCAGCAAAGCATCTGGTGAAGATTCTCAGCAGCACCTGATCTACCGTATATCCTCTTAAGCAATAACTGTTCATTACTAATACCCCCCCCCCCCCTCCAACTGACCATTCAGGTCAGTTTGGAAGCTCCAAGTTGTGCTCATGTCTGAATATAGAATAGAGTTTTGTGTCAATGTGAATCGTTATTATAAACAATCAGGTTGTGGTTCATTCCCATGACACAGAAACAGCAGACCGTGACAAGTGGAATGTGCGTAGCAAAATAACCAACATAGGCTTTAACTGTCTCTTGTAAAGCTGACTTGAGTTCAGAATATGATACCAGGAACATTCCAAATAACGCCTGGAGGTGTGCTGTCATTTTTAGGTTGGTATCTCAAATGTGTCCAACGGCTGTAGTCTAAACTAAATATTTTGTACCTAAAACAGCAACACGGAGAAGCTTTGATTTGTTGCAGAGAACAACTTCAAATATCTGCGTGTTTGCTTTCATTTTATTTCTCAGATAACGGCCATTGCAAGAGTTCCACGTCTGGAACTCGGTGCTGTTCGCCAGGATTGTTGTGTGTCTGTGTGACACCAACGCAGTATCAGTATGCAGGTTCTCTGTAGAAACTTATTGAAATTCAGTTCAGTCATAACGCTCTGCATATTTTTCAAATGGTCTTCATTTGATTGTTACTGTGCAGAGACCTGTCAGCAGTTCTTTAAAGGGAACAACTGTGAATGATTAAAAGCTTCTAATGAGACATTGTGAATATTCTTTTACCATTTCAGCAGGATGCTATGAAGCAGGAATAATGGAGAATGCCATCATGTCAGACTTTAAATTTCGCTCTGATTTTTTAATGATTCTGAAGTACGAGAAAATACTGTGATGTGTTGATAAAGTAGCAATGCAAAGTGTGAGTGGTGCCACGGGCAGCTGAGTGACCGGATTTTCAGCTTTCCCTCAAGATGATACACACAGAAAATGCATAATCTTTTTATTTTCTTTTTTGTTTGTAATTTAATTGTTTTGTTTTTTTCTTTGAGTCGGTCCAGAATTCTATAACTACTTGACCCATTTGTTCTCATTTCTAAATTTTGATTGGGTCCACTTTTAAACATTAAGAGATGCTACTTATACAAATATGAAATAGATAACTCACTGTTGATTTATTCTTCAAATTTGTGCATATTTGGAAAAACACCCATACGAATAGAAAGTAGTGCTTACTCACAGCCGTGTCTCTGGATCTCTGTTTTCTTGGACATGGCTGCCGGCTCCATGTATCTTACAGGAGAAATGCACAGTGATTTATACGTGCCATGAGACTAACCTTTGATCCCTTTTTCTCAAGTGAAGTACAGGGCAGTAGCTAACACAGCAGTAAAATGGGGACTTATTAAGCCATAGATAAGAGAGGTGCACACCCATCGCTTGGCTGCATGGAGCAACATATACATATGTTTATATATATGGAATTAGCATGTTGACCTTTACACATATGTGAACAACTTGGCCTGTTTGTGCATTTTTGCTGATCTTATACAATCTCATAATAGATTGCTTAACCTTTGACAGTTCGTGGTTAGTGCACCCTCATAGTTCATATATGAAGGTACAGGAACAAATTATGTAAGACAAAATTCCTGTCAATTTCACAACATGCTGCTCTCTGCATTAATTGTGCATCTATCATTCTGTGCGTATGTCCTATTATTTCTTTCTGCTTTTTTCCGTACGTTCTGTTCTGTGGTGCATGTATATTCATGTTTTTGTCAAACATGCTGCTTTAGCAAAATACCTGAATTAGATTTAATTAAAAGAAAAAAAACAGACAGTAAAAAACAAAAAAAAGAAAAAATGCCCATGGATGTGCTAACAAAAGGAGAGGTGTATAATTTACATCTGGCATATATGATCCGTTACCACTTTGAGAAAGAAAACATTTTAGTAAAAAATAATCAAGAAATTAGAACTTCTTAACTCACAATAACTGTATATGTGTGTGAAACAGACCGCACCTAAGTTCTTTACTAATGTGCTTCCACCAAACATGAAAGATAGGATATCTGGCAAGTATGTACATGTTCTGAAAGAAAACCAGTTGAGTCATGATGTGCTTCTGAGATTTAATTAAATTAGGTGTTCCCAACCTGGCGGTTTGAATGCACACGATTCATAGAATTAGGACCGTAGTAAACAAAGACATCACGCGAAATAAACATTTGCAGCAACATTCAAAAATTGGAAGCAGCAAAAACCTTCTGGTAACATAAGCATTAATGCTAAAAGGAAAGCAACAGCTGAAGACAGCTGATAGGTTTACTTCTGCCCTCTTGCTTTAAACAGCCTTTGGTAAATAAGGAAAAAGGCAAGTAGCTTTACAACATGGACATAAGTGGACTCGGAATGGGCTAAACATTAGATTGTGCAAAGGCACACCAGTGATGGAATTTTGCTCAGGAAATGGGTTTAAAAGCAGCTGGATGAAGCCAACAACACAGGCATGCAACAAAAATATTTGTGTGTAGTACAAAATCCTTCTTCTGTAGTACACGTAGAAAATGGCAATGACCAGTAGAGTGTTTATCACGTGATTTAAACCAACCATAAACTGTAGTGTCATTCAGAGTTCAGCTGCTGTTCTGATGGAGAAAGCAGTTTGACACGTACCTGCTACAAACCACCTGGGGGGGTTCAGTGGGCGAGTTGTTCTGCCCTGACAGACAGCCTCTGACTGCATATGACAGTAAGCACATTTGGGAGATCAGAGGTTTTCTCTTTTGCTCCGAAGATGACACGCTTTTATATATTTTTGCAATTTGGTGTAATTATATCAGTCAAGAGGTTTAATCAGAAATGGGAAGAGAGGGCACATCTTTCCTCGATACATACCTGTAGTAAATATTACAGTATTTACTGACATCAACAGACATTTTAATTTGGTTGAAGTTAACTGTACATGGGAGTTGCAGACAAGCCCACACTCATAGAAACACACATATCAATGAACACACACACACACATTCACACACAACCTGGGGATATCTAAGCTTGTTTTCTCGCTGCTATTGCCACTCCAGTGTTTTCCATCCAACTGAGAATTTCTCACTCTGTAAACTGCGAAAGGCTATCAAACTCTGAACCAAAACTTTAAAGCATATTCAGCCGTTATGAGTTCTGCAATTTCACTGTGAAAGCATTCTCTGTGGAATATGAAGGCTTCTGACGACCATTTTTGGGGTCAAAGCATTTTTCCAAGCATTGTTTTCAAGTTGCCACAAGCCCATTAGATTTACATCGAGGACTGATTCTCTAAAAAGATTCATTTTGAAAAGCTTGACTGTTGTTTCTCACAGTGAATACAATCCACCACAGACATGGAATCTGCTTTTCCCTCTTTAAATGGTCAATTTACGGAAGAGCATCTGTTTAACATTGAAACAGATAAATTGTCCCATCTAGTGGTGAGGTGGGAAACTAAATAATTCATGAAAAATACAGTATGTTGAGCCTGTCACCTAAAGCAGCCTAAGGATTTTCTGTAATCGTAAAATCGTGAAAAAAAAAGGCACACCACGTTTGTTAAAAAAGTTTTAGAGGTCTAAATCATTTCAGGTTCAGCAGACCACCTGTTATTACAGGCACTTTCGCACCCCTATTTTCAATCACGCTCCCTCTTTACCGCATGGTAGCATCTTACCTTTACCGTGACTAGAAATATTACAGAGCCGCTGACAGATTTACACTGTCTGCATGCTGCGTCACCACAAACCTGTTCAGACTAACACGTACCTTGAGCATTGTGTGTGTCCTCCGGTTAAAGCCATTCGGGTTATCGTGTCAACTTCATGATATACTGGAGCAGAGTCTGTGGCAGGGCATTTAAGTGCACAGTGGTGAACACACTGCATAATAAAGAATGTTTGAAGGGGAAAGTTGCTGAGTGGCACGTTTTACAATGTACATGCTCTAACATTCTTGGCACAGCAGAATTTGCTGCAGACGTGGGTGGGTTGTAAGATGTCCAAAAGCTTGTTTTGCAGCTATCAGTAATTTCCGCATCAACTACACCATCTGTTTTTCTTCTACATGGGTTTATTTTTAAGTCACACGCCTTAGTGGGATTTTTAATCTCTCTTTCTTTGGAAAACGAGCACTGTCAGAAATCCAGATGCTTAGTTCCCATATAATCATGAAGGCATTCAGTTCTAGGTGCCAATGAGGTGGCTTTATTGTACAGAGTTTTGACTTAAAATCCATGAGGGATGTAATTCTGCGCACAGCAAGCATTCTGATTTGTAAAGTGGAAATGTATATTGTATGTTTGTCTGTGAAAACCCACGATCGGGTTGGTTCTATATGAGGTTACTGAGTGTACAGTAGGTCTTAAGGATACAGTCAGGTCATGGGAATGTTCCAGAAAACACACCTGTGTGATTTGTCAGCCACCCAAATGCACCGACCCTTTCTGCCATTGGTCCATCGGCACCCCGCTGAGGCTGCCGCAAACCAATAGGAGAGGTTACTGCTTCATTCAGAGCAGGAGTTGCCTGTGGTGGAAAGTTTAAAAGAGCTTGTGTCCCACAGTCCCTCAGCAGAAGCATCAATCAACATGATCCCTGTTGTGCTGGCCTCAGTGCTTATTGCTAGCGGTAAGAACATCTGGAATATTCTAATTCTGTGGAAGGTTTTTTTTCCCTCTCTCTCACTAGCACAAGAGAAGCAAGCTCACAGAAACTCATTAAAAAAATAACAATGTCGTCTTTATTCTTATGATGTGGGAATCCAAAGTAAGGAGTGGATTCCTTGCTGACACCCTCATATCTCCTCCTCTTTCAGCCTTCGGGTGCGGCACTCCCCCCGTTGAGCCTCTGACTTTCCGAGTGGTCAATGGAGAGGATGCCAAACCCCACAGCTGGCCCTGGCAGGTATGATAACACATACATATCTGCCCGTATCCTGTTTTCACTTTAAAGCCCCGTGTGTTCAACATCTGGATATCACATGTCAAAATGAATGACTGCTAGAAATATTTCAATCTAATGTTTTCATTTTAGTTCCATTAGAAAACTATAACGGCCACAGCATAACCAAAACTTTCTCAGTACTGCATCCTCATGTCGATGCTTTTCATTTTCAGATATCTCTGCAGTATGAGAGGGATGGCGAGTGGAGGCACACATGCGGGGGGTCTCTGATTGCTGCCAACTGGGTCATGACTGCTGCTCACTGCATCAAGTATGGGAAACATGAAAAAAAACAAGCACCTTTTACAAATAACAGATGGATAAACATTTTGTTTCCAGCGCCGGATTCATTAGAATACACTAAACTGTTTGTCTAATTCAGTCCCCGAAGCCCAACTAACCCCTACAGAAATAAAAATCCATAGGTTTGACAGTACACAGTGGATCATCTACACCACTGCTCTGTTTTAATCCTTGTTTTGCCTGCCTCATTTTACCTTCTAATCAGCCGATTGAATTAATCAAATCATTCAACTGTGCAGAAAATGTTTTGCCTAATTGCCTTGGGTCTCAACAGTCTGTTCTCTCCCATAGTACCGCGCTCTCCTACAGGGTGTTTGTGGGCAAACACAACCTGGTTGAGGAAGAGGTTGGCTCCAAGGCCATCCTGCCTGAGAAGATTATTGTCCATGAGAAGTGGAACCCTATCTTTGTGGCCTTCGGGTAACGCAAACATTGTGGTGCAATATAAAGAGAAAGACTTTTCTCTTGTGTACTGTACTGTATATCATGTTCTCATCTTCTCCTTGTCAATGGGAGGTGGTTACAGAAACAAAAGAAAACAAAAGCATTCATTAATTTAAGTACAACTCATCTCTTTGGCATTAATTTTGTCTCTTTATTTGTGTAAAAGGTCTTTGCAGCCAATTAGGCCGACGTGATAATGTGCAATGTGTTATTTTATTCATACAGCAGCTGTATTTCTCATCTTTGAAGGGGAAGCGAAAATATTCTAACAGTTCATGCAAACACATTTCAATATAAAGAGAGTATTGCAAACAAGCAAACCAACAAAAAAAAGAAAGGAAAAAAACACAGTGCTCCCATCCTCATTATCTTATCTATAGCTTTCCCCTCTAGCTCTGAAGGATGACTTCTAAATGGCCTGTCAGCTCTCCCTCAGCATCTATCTGTGTTTGTTTCAGTAACGACATCGCCCTGATTAAGCTGTCTGAGTCTGTAACTTTGAGTGACCATGTGCACTTGGCATGTATTCCTGCTGCTGGTACCGTGCTGTCCAACCTTTACCCTTGCTACATCACTGGATGGGGCAGGCTGTACAGTAAGTCAGCGTTACATGTTATTATCCCTAAAATGCCCTTGTTTTCCTTTGTTTCTACACGATCTGTTTTCTAATCCAGTTGAGATGTTTGTATTTTTAGCCTGTGAGTGTGTGATTGGGGTTACCCACAGAAATCCACCAAAGATGGGAGGAAATTCACAAGATTACGATTATAACCGCAACGTTTTAGCGGGAAAAATATTCCTAAATTGAAAATTTAGGTCAGACTTTGAGTTTGGCTTAGGGGTTGATGTTGTAAAGCAGCTTTGACAGCCAGCGAGAGTGTGTGTGTGTGTGACAGTAATAGACTCTGCCTATTTGTTTTAGCCGGAGGTCCCATTGCTGATAAGCTGCAGCAGGCTTTGATGCCTGTGGCCGACCATGCCACCTGCTCACAGCCTGACTGGTGGGGTATCGCTCTGAGGACCACCATGGTGTGTGCCGGCGGGGATGGAATTGTGGCTGGATGCAATGTAAGTCTGGGTTGTGTTTGTCCCCAAGTATGTATGAAGGGATGGAGGGAAAACAGATTTTGCCTTCCCTCCTTATTAAATCCACACATACCAAGCATATTATTGTCCAAGTATAAATATGAATCAATTATATAACCTCTGTATCTCTGTATCCAGGGAGATTCTGGTGGCCCTCTAAATTGTAAGAACTCTGAAGATGTCTGGGAGGTCCACGGCATTGCCAGCTTTGTGTCTGGCCTTGGCTGTAACTATAAGAAGAAACCAACTGTCTTCACCAGAGTGTCTGCTTTCAATGACTGGATCGACCAGGTAAAGGACACAACACAGTAAATCTATGTTGTCAAGAAATATCTTTAGTTTTTTTTTGCTGTCTGCTATTGTGTAACTCTTCTCTGTCTTTGCAGGCTATGATGAACAACTAAAGAATATTTCACTTAAATAAAAAGACCAGAGATTGCATTAATCCCCGTCATATCTGTACTAATTCAGATCTTACACTCTCTCCCTTTTTTAAAGATACTGAATCTTGAAATTTGAGCTCTTTTATCACTTCACATCAATAAATAACAGCATTTCCTTGCTTGCGAGACACTGAAACATTATCCTCAATCCCCCAGCAGGTGTCCTCCTACACTTATGGTATGGAGCTGTTTCTGACAGCTCTCCAAATGTGGATTTTCTGCTCACAAACCAATTCTTCTGCCTGTTAAACAGCAGCAACAAACAAGTGTGATTCATCTCAAAATGCTCCTTAAGAAACAAGACTTGCTCTCAGACAAAACTGTCATATGAGGATATGCAGAATGATGCTAAGTGCCTTTCTGGGGGATGAGGGTGGAAGCTGTGTGCGTCATAAAGAAATGGAAGATATGAATCTAATAATAAATGCATGAAAGTGACCTGTTTGTCTCTGTGTCCTCTCACACTTCAAGTGAGCGTTAAGGTTTATTAAAACTATGATTTATTCCATCGCAGGAAAATATTTCCTCACGGTAACTGTGATCTGAAAATAAAACTTAAAATGACATGGTTGAAATGAACATTTCTGTTTTTATCCCTTTCCTCTCTCTATGCTGTAATGAGATATGGATGAAAGAATAAGTGGGGTGAAAACTGGCAAAGAAATTAAATTGCCTTTCTGCGCTTTTTCTTCTCTGTTCCACTCTCTGTCACACTCACAAGATACAGTTGGAAACACATACTTTAAATGTACTGGAGGCATGCGAATGTCTACTAACATGAGATGCAAAGATCGGCCATGACGTGTCCTTTATGATGGAATAGTGATGACTGTCAGTGGCAGTACATCTGTGTCTGTATGGTACACTGAAAGAGGATTAAAGGAGCGGCATGGGGACATGATATTCTCCAACTAGATATATCTCTGACGTGATGAATCACACATCTGAAGGAGAGCTTTCTCTGGTGTATCAGTCTATAGCCTATTATGGGTATCCCATCAAAGCCTTCGTGTAGTTTAACGCACAAAACTACTCTCTGACTATTTCAGTTGGATGTAAATATATGGTCGCCCGTCAGTACTTGAACATTATACATAAAGACAAACCTATGAGGCAGTTTGTTTTGTTCCAGTGCACACTTCAGATAATGTAACTAAATGTGTATTAAATCATTCCTCTCTAGGTATGGGAATTCAGTGAACTCCCATAAAAAATGTACAGAATTACACATATAATTTATCCCCTCTTGACAGTAAAAGAAGAGATGAGCCAAGTACCGAACGCTTGGGTTGGAATCATTTAATCAGCTCATAGGGTAATAACTTCTTACAATGAGATTAAAGCCGTGACCAAATGACAGATCATAACGGACATCCATTAAAAATTTAAATGCAATATGCTGTTGTAACACTTGTAATGTTTCTATCTTATTCACACATTTAACTAATTTATTGTTACATTTAATTACATGGATTGAGACGACATCATCTGGCTGATATTGCACTGTCAGTCGCTGCATTCATATTTCATCCAAATGGACGGTAGCCCTTGAAATATTATGAACATGCACGGCAGTGTATTTGTGCCTCTCAGAACGGGATTTGCTCCCCAGGAAACTTCTGTCTGAGGCAGATGGAGAGTGTGAGTGGGAGGCCTAAAAGGGGGCTTTGTCTCGGTCTGAGCTTTGGGTCACATCAACCAGTTCTGTGTGAAACTAATGCAGGCATGGCTCCCCAACCTTTGTGAGGACGTTTCTTACTACAATGCATTTCTTTCAACCTTTCTGCCACAAACTAAATGTCTTTCACTAAACAAATTTCTTGACCAAACCTGGAAAAGTTCAACTTTAGAAAGTTAAAATCACCAAAACGGGTCAAAACATCATCACCGTACTGAAACAGCTTTTCCAGTGTGTAAGATCCTCACAAAGAAACATTCATGCGTGTGCACAGGCACAAAGAGAGGGACACAGAGCAGAATTCCCAGGGGACACCATGCTGCTTTGCTGAATACCAATGAGGAAAAACTAGATCAACAAGTCGGAATCTTGTGAAGTAGCTTTTCAGGTTTGTGGGAGTTTATTTGATTTGCACAATTTCAGCAACATGAAATAACAGTTTGACTGAACCTTTTTTAAATGAAACATGTCAGTGTTAGCACTTGCATGATGAATGTTGATATATGTCTTAAACTTTCAGTATTTTTCATCATCTTCGATTAGGTAAATGATCCATTGCTTATACTTTCAAGCTGAGACTCCCCTTTTTATGACTAAAGATGCCTTTTCAGCGAGAAGTTGACCACTTCAAGAAAGAAGAAAAACAAGTTAAGATTAGACCAACCCAGTTAAAATCTATTAAGATTTCTAACTGGTAAAGTTTTCATCAAGATCATCAACCCAAAGTGAACCAATCCCACAAAGCCTGGGAAGGCCATTAGTGAAACCATGCAGCAGGATGATGTCCAACCGTTAGAAGGAAATGCCCTTTTGCAAGCAGAGTATGTTCTTTCTTATTATCTGAAACGCATCTCTTTCGATGTATTTTGATAAACATTGACAGAGTTAATTTCGGTTGCTCTGTGACCATACGCCAGGGGGTTAGAGGCAAAGCGCTTGATAAGTTGTCCCGAGAGCGTCTTTAAATAGGAAGCCTGTTGTACGGGACTGAGGGAGGGGCAGAGGAGTGGTGGAGGGGGGTTGGGGGCGGGGGGTGATGAGCAGACACAGTGACAGCAGCATCTCCTCTGTCGCCTATCAGCAGTTACTGGAAATCAGCCGGGGCGAAGGGCGAGAGTGGGAGAGAACTCAGCCGGAGCCGAGCCACAGAAGTTGTGTCAAACGAGAGTTTCGGGCACTTTCTTGGATGTAAAAAAAAAAGAAAAAGAAAAAGAAAAAAAAGCCACTTTCTTGAAGTGGTGAAGTTGTTGATGATCTGCGTTTTATTTGAAAAATCATTTAGCAGTGAAGCGGGAAGAGGAGTTGCCCACAGCTTATGTACGACTCATGGGGACAGCACATCTGAGGGGAGAATTGGGTAAGCTGTTGGATGAAATGTTTATGTGCTTTGAGGCGGTTCAGACACATGAGAAGGAGGCCTCTCATTCTGATAGCCCGCTGTCAGCTGCTGTATTATGCAAAACATCTCTCGTTTTCCATGTGGTCAGTGCAAGCACTGGTCTGGCAACTTATTGTGCCTTACTCGTCCTTTCTCGACATGCATGTGGGTGCATCACATATATTTGCATTGCATTATTTGCCTGTGTACACATTAACCTCCTGAGACCCGAGCTTTTATTTGGCATGCATTTTAGCTTTTTTTTTAAAGATATATGAGATACATATTTAATTAAATGTTTTTACAATTTTGTTCTGACAGTCCCATTGACTTATTTACATTTTTTCTATTACACAATAAGAACATGATTGGATGGAAATGTATAAAACCATTTTACTTTAGATTTCAAACAGTGTCTGATAGCATCTGCTATGAGGTCAAGAGGTCAAAGCTGAAAGAAAAAAAGAAGTATCATGGTAAAGAGAGACAAAAATGCAACGTCCTCTTATGAGGACACAGGGTCTCAGGAGGTTAAGCCATTGTGCCAAGCAGTGACACTGTTCTCTTGTACAGGCTGGCAAACATAAGCTGATACTCACGTTGTATTTAAGTGCTCCTTGCCACCAGTCTCAGTCTTTAAGCTCAACTATTTCCTGCAACAGCCAGAGGCAACAGTCATTGCATAACAGTGGACACTATCTTTGTATTGACAGTGGCTTCGGGGAGGGTGCGAACGTCTGATTACAGGGAAGGTCAGTTAGAATTATTTTCTGATCTTTGGACATTTAAACTCCTTATTGTCAGTCAGTCACTGGATGGCTGAGTTATGAATATAGGAATGAGTTGTTTGGTGTTAAGAAAGTGATCACACTAAATGTGTTTAACCCTATCAGCTAAAGTGAAAGTAAACTTTTCCAGAATTAAAGTTGTAGATGTGTTTTTTATACATTTCAGCGTACTTACTCTATGACTTTTGTCTCACATCTGAGCACTTATTAGGATCTTTTTTGCACCTGAGCCTCACTGGTACCTTGAGTAATGTAAGTGTTATAAATGTGTTATGAGTAGTGGTGATGAATGAGCATGGGAGTTTGCTTGCAAAGCACTGAATACTAGAAATTAATATGAAGACTTAGGTTTATCATTATGTCTCGATCTTAGTCGTCCCTACTTAACTCTCTTCCCGTCATCCCACTTCTCTGACGCGTTTAACATGCACATTCTTCCCTTTTTTTTTACTAATTGAATCTTTTTGTTTTGTATCACCTGGGTTCTGAGCACAAGTTCTTCAGGGTGTTGGAAATATGCTGTGGAACCGTGAGGGGAGCTTTATTGACAGTAGTCACAGTTGGTGATCTTGAGAGCAATTTTCTCCACAGTAATGCCACCAGCATCCTGAGAGGGACCCATCTGCTGAAATAGAGACCAAATTTTCGGAGCTTGAGAGCAGATCAAATGCATCACTGCAGCCCACCTCAGTTTTGCTATCCGTCTTTATTAGGCTAGGCTGTAAAATGCCTGGAAAAGGAAGGATGACTCTAGAATGACTTTCTCAACAGCAGGAGCTGACTTGGACTGTGTCAATATTGCTCCCAGTTGGGGAGAGAGGGAAATGTGTGGTCTCATTAGAAATGCATTAGAGGAAAGAGAGAAGGTTAGAAAAGCAAGCAGATGAGTTACAGTTTTATCTGTTGAACTCTTGGGTGGAAATATTATCACATTTCGTCTCATGTCTGAAACAACTTTTCACAAAAAGTTTTGTTTCCTCTTTTTTTATCTCATGCTTGAATCAGAAACCCTCAGTGACACATTTAATATCACAACACACAAAAAACAACATCTGCGTGGGTTTTCCCTAACTATCATATTACCTCCAAAGTAATCTGACAGTTTCCCAACAGAAAGTGCATAGTGGCATCTTCTTTGTCAGCCTGATCATCTCCACCTGTCTAAAGGAAATTTGTCATCACTCAATACTAAAGCACAGAATCACTTTCTTGGCCATATTATTGAATGTAACAGTAATCAAGTATTGTTTTACTTCAACATCTTTCTATATGAATATTGCTAACCCTAGTGCTAAAATACTCAGATAATATTCAGCTTGATCTCTACTATACAGCCTTTTTAAAACTGGATAGATGATATTAAAAACTGCCTTTTCAATATAATATTGTGAATGCAAGCACTGGAAAATGTAGGTTGTTCCACATTGTCGGGGATAAAGCACCTTGGCCTAGTGACGAACTCATCAGGCGAAAGTAATCTTTACTGAGCTGACTTCATCACAGGACCTATTTACATCTTTACGTGCCTGGCAGGTTAACGGTGTCCAAGTGTGCCACTTGCATGTGTGTGTGCCGGAGAGCTTACGTCTTTGTGTTCATTTCATATCTTTTCAGTGGGAATCTGCAGAGTTGAGGAGAACTGCACGGCACAGTTCAGCTCAGAAGCACCACAGACGATCCTCTGAAGTCTGACATGACCACTCTGGAGGCTGGGGTTGCTGTCCAGTCCACCATGGAGCATGATCTGAGAATGGGACTGTCTCTGTGGTCCATTGTGGCCATTGTTTGTAACTCCGTGGTGGGCGTCCTCATCCTCATCCTCTTTGTCATCCTTTACAAGGCCTGCAAGGTGCCTTCACACCAAGAGAAAGTGCCTGTGCTTTTGGCAGGGATGGAACAAGAGAGGGCTGAACACAAGTACATGCTGTCTGCGGCCTGATCCAGATTTGAGGACATAAGCTTGACGTGTGGGCAAAATTCAAACATGGGATTCAGACACATGAGTGGATAAGAAAAGAACTGGATAAGAGCGTAGTGAACCTACACAAGCCATTATTCCACTGTCTCCTTTTTGTATTGTGTACTGTTCTATCTGTCCACCCGCAGTCCCATCTCTTCTGGGCCCTTAAGTAAGGCTCAGACGGAGCTAACTGCATTAAGACTTGTGACAAGACCAATGACAACAACAGGCAGACCCAATCCTCTTATCAGTGCTTTGTGTCGTGGGGACTGTCCGTCTGTCAGTCAGCTTGCCTTGCTGCACACTGAGGGGTCATGATCTCCTCTGCCTCCTTTGTTTCCATCCCTTTGAATAAGGCAGCAGGGTGGGTGTGAGGGAAAAGCAGTGAAATCACACTTAAGCCACACGGAGGGCAAAATTGTTACAAGGTTGGCTGCATGTAACAGTGACATCTCAGAGGGAGAGACAAATCAGAGCTGACAGGCAGTTTTTTTTTTCTTTCTGGCTGCAGCACTGTTGATGGAGGCACAACAAGTAGACACCTGTAGAGTAACAAGACCCTGAGAATTGAAATGTCGTGTTGAGTCAGTTGAGTCAAAATTTATGAAAATAAAGTTGATTTCATATTTGATTTGTACTGGGGAAGAGCTGGGAAGGGGTTTCTTAGATGTTTTGTTGACAGTGAAGGAAGCTGGAGGGCCCTGTTTGAAATTCTTCCAAAATAACACAGTTCTGCTACAGTGCTGTGTGTGTTATGCTCTGTTTGGAGATTTTCAGACTGCTATCATCGAAAATAACTAAGAATACCCACAGATGTGAGACTCCTCCGTTTGTTGTGTTTGTGCTGTTATAGAAAGTACTGCATACACAGCAGACTACAGATCTCCCTTGCAAATAGGTGCAAATATCTCATTAAAAAATATATTGTTTGAATTCAAAATTGTTTGAAGAGATGTTAATGATTTATTTAAAACAGATTGTGAGGATTTTGCCAAAATTCTCATTTCATATTATTTTATTTTTTTTAAACCTTCAACCAGACCAGTCTTTGAAGGCAACTCTTTATATTTTGGAAAATTGCAGTGGGGATTTTTAAGATTTTTGTATTTTAAGAATAAAAAACTTGAAAAAAAGTCTTATTTGATGATTTTGTTTTTCTTTTAACACACCAAAAGGAGCTACTCTATACTAATGTAGATTACAATCAGTGTTATAATGTCCTCTTTGTGAATTTCCTTGATAAGCTGCCCACTTTCTTTAAAAACGTGCAGCTTTAATCAAACCAATCATTGACCTTTTGCAACCTTGTGCGCAGAGCCAATCGCTCACATGCATACTGACTACAACTGTGACCCACTTCCTGTTGTTAATCAACTACAAGCACATAATCCTTATCCTGTTTTCACAAGCCAGCATCGTTGTACACTTTTTCTTTCTATTTTTGGTGGTGTGGGGTTTGGTTTGGTTCAAACTGCTGATGTTTTCTGAGGGACCATTACTTTGGAACTTTGCACGTCATGTTAAAATTAATAATTTTCTCCATGACAGAGGAAGGATTCATCTTTCCAAAAGGCCAATTACCACTGATTTTACCTTGCTGCATAACGTTGCATTTCACAGTCTTATCCCCTTATTTCCTTATTTTATGGATTGCATTTCTAAAGCTATCCTTCCAGGGACACAATATTTGTGAATCTGTCTTATTTATCTTATATAGTTAAAAACAATTCTCAGAAAATATTGCTTTAATGGGTCAAATTGACCCTCCTGTAATCTTATTTTTCCCATCACATTTCTCCCTTGCAGTCAATCTGACCCCTGATATGTTTGCCTCAAAAATGATTTACAGATTTACAATTGTTGACCACATTTCTCAGTCAGGCAATTTATTCATGAATTACCCCGATAATGAAAACGTGACCTGTACTCTAGTGCCACCATCAGGCCAAAGTCATTCATTAGAATAGAATAATCTTGAAAAGTTTTCACCGAGGTCTTCTCAAATTTACAGACAGCATTAGTTTCTAAAAGAGTATGACCCCGACTGGATTTGGTGATGGTGTGTCCGTTCCTGCTGCATCAACATCATGTCAAACTCTCAGTTTCAGAGTTATATGTTTAGAAGATCTTTCATCCGAATCTTTTCTGATTTGGGGTGCAGATTCATGACTCTCACAGAGTGAACTATACTGATTGATGTTGGTAACCCTTTTCCTTGGATGGTCTCCAGATATTTAGAAACAATGCCTTTTCAGTCTCCAATGGTTTGCCTTTTTTTCACTTTTAATTTTCAACTGTCGCCATCCACATTCTGCCCCCCTAAAATTTGAATTGCAAGAACTATATTTTTAATCCATGAGAATATCAAATGATGACTTGATGTCTTCAGCATGGCTGATGGCATATCTACTGTGAGTCTACTGTGCTGTTGAAGTGGGGAGAGGGACTATGTCATTATTCCATTTTGGAAGGGGTTGGGTCAGCTGGTGGAAACACAGATGGGTCAACACTCATTCCCTTTCACTGTCAAAGGGCTGTTCCAAAACACCATAAACAGTAAACCGTTTTTAAGAGAGAGAGAGAGTCTGCAGATTGCAGTATACACAGAGAACACTGAGGTATGATTTGGATAAAGAGGTTTACTCCTTACCCGCTTTGCATAAGCTGCAAATGTCCTTGTGGGAATACTCTCCTCCATGGAAGGGAAAAAATCAGTTCCACACCAGCAGGTAGAGCAGGAGTAGTATGTCACAGACACACAATGTTCCCATGAGAATGTTTTTAAAATTTGCCCGAACATGAACGTAATCATTGGAAAAAATTGAGTAATTTTCTATTTTATGTACATTTAGCATGACATTCAAAATGCAGAAATTCTACAGAAATGTTTTAAAAATAGGGCTTTTCTATTACATTCAAATGTCAAATAATAAGCGAGTCACTGAGTTTTACCCATTTGCATCAGTTTGATATTGTACTGGCAATCATTTATTTGCAAGAGTTTTGGATTTATCACAAAATAAATAATTGTATCATGTTCGTTCTGGCACTGCGTTCTACCCACTGACTACTGGGATAGGCTCCAGTCACCCCGCGACCCCATTAGGGAATGAACGGTTGCAATAATGGATGGATGGATAATTGTGGAGTTTGTGTGTTGATTATGTTGATATATATCGGGGTTGCTTAAGGAATCATAATAGATAGACAGACAGATAGATATACATACTTTATTCATCCCAAGCTGGGAAATTGCCTCTGGTGTATTTTCAGATAAACAAAGTCTTTTAGTTTGCATATATCAGTCCTCCTGACAATCATGTTTATGTTGATCTTGCCATCTTAGTTTTGGTGTTGGCTTAAAAAACGATGTTTTAGAAATGTTGTCTAAAGTTACATATAAGCAAATTCTACCAGTCTTTTAGCATTAGTTAAGGTGAAAGAGGCTCGCTCCATTCAACATGATGTTATGCAAGAAAAGGGAGATGTATTAGAGACTGAGAGATTACTAATAAATGCAGGAGGAATCAGTAATCTGCAACTCCATGAGTTGCATAACCCACATCAGCCTGCACATCAGTCCTCAGTTGTCTGTGAGCGAATGTGATCCAACGCAATCACGAAAGGATCAAATGTTAATCTAAGTCAGGGACATTACATGCACAAAAATGAGTGGGATTTTTGCTTTAGGTTTGTATGACATAATTTTTTATTTTAACCACTGCATCCTATTAAAGCCTTTAGTGTTTGGTGATAGTCCAGCAGAGACATGAATATCACTTTAAGGCTAAGTGTGGTTGAATGTATGCGCAAACCTTTTCTAAACTGCAAGACTGACTTGGATCTGTAATTTAATAATCTATTCAGATGTCCATTCAACACACATTAGAGCAAAGGAAATGGCCATTGGTGTTTTGCCTCCACAAATTAATTCCATTTAGAGATATAATATATCATATAAACTACTGTTCGATTCCAGTTGACAAGTTAAGATAAATAAGATTTTTTTAATTTTTTAATTAATAATTCAAGGACTGAAGATGATAAATGTTGCAAGTTTTCAGGAGCCATTCATTGAAGTCTCATGAAGAGTTAGTTCAATTGAAAACAGTGGTCAGTGCAATAACGTGCACACACTGTGTCTATGAAGCAATACTGTGTTAAGGCACGCTGAATAATGTCTGGTTTTGTTCTGTAACCACGAGTTTGCTCCCCCCAAGAAAGATGCCATTGTGTGGGATGCAAATGTTTCTCCAAACATCCAACATACACCTAAATGATCAAAGGTACTCTTACTGTCAGTTTGTGCACCCCTATCAGACAAAAACAGGCTTTTGCGTGTATTGCAGACAACGGCATGGTATGTCCAACAGAACACCTGGACTTATCAGACTACTGGAAACATTCCCGGTGTCTATATGCCCATCAAACGCAAACTCAGTGTATGACCTCCTTTTCCCAAGCTCATGTGTTTTCCAGTCTTTCTGCTTTCAGAATGACATTAATTGGGGCGCAGTGGGGACCTTTTACCTATGAGAGACACAAAAACGTGGGTGGAGAGGGTGCAGGGGCATACAACAAAGGACCACAGATCAGGACCCAAACCTTCACGTTTCAACAAAGACCAGAACCTCTTTACATGGAGCACCCACTTAAGCTGTGGAGCCACACACCACCCCCCTGCATCTCCGAGCAATCTAATGCACTTTACAGGTTGATTGCTCCACACTCTTTGGTATCTTTCATTGAAATTTATTACTTCACTGAATGACGATTCTTTGACAGACTTTGGCAGAAAATGGAGAGCCACAAACGCCCCTTGATGAGAAAGACTAAGCCTTTGATTTGATTGTATAGAATTCTCATATGTTGATTGGTTGAATCTTGTTGCTCGTTGAATAGACCTTGCAGTCTTTGTATGGCTCCTGATTTGCACATGTTTTTTTTATTTTTTTGGACCAATTTAAATGTATCACAGAAGACATCTCATCTCTTTTTTTATTAATGTTCAAATGTATTCAAATTTGTTTTTGAGAGTGTCCCAAACAGATATGCGATTTGTAGCTTTCTGTATGCGTTTGTTGCTCTTATACTGTCATTGATAATAATTATGGAGAATTCTAATTACCCATAATCAGATCTTCAAAACAAACGTCAGTGTTGTCACAACTCATCATACTTATGTGCACTAGAACACCCAGGAACTGAATCAGTTTTGATAACAGTGCAGCTCTGATACTAAGATAAGTGTGTTCCGGTTCTATTTAAAGTGTAGAAAATGTCATTTTGATAACAGGGGTGTAATCATGGCATTAAACAAGCTGAAATAATGTGTGTGATTGGAGAAGGATCAGTATGCAAGACATAGCAAAAGCAATCAGACACGGTAAGTGTTAGAGTTGTGGAGTAGCTGTAGAGAGGAAATGAGAAATAAATAAATAAATGAAATCCTCTTCAATCCTTTGCAAATTTATAATTTCATTGTTTCATAAAGTTTAGCGCCTTGGTAACACTGCACCTTGTTCAAAATGAGAAACAGTTGATAAATAACCATATAAACCAGTAATCTGCAGCACGCAGGACTGTGCCTGATTTTGGACCTTAAACTGATTGGATTTAGCAGACTATAAAGCAACGACCTACTTGACCCTGCACAACTCATTGACATTCATCTCTCACACAGCCTGCATCAGTGTCTTTTGTTGTGTTAGACTGCCACCTGCTGGCTGTGCTTATTGTGTGAGCTGCCTCATTTTCAAAGCTTTGGTCTTGGCTGCAGCAGAATTTGAATGTGCCAGGAGGCTTCTGCTTAACTGTGCAGCAGAGCGTTATACTGCTGCTCTCTGCTGCCATTTCTAACTAGTCCCGTATAACGGTGGAACAAATTAACTGTTTAAATGTCTTTCTTTATTTATTTTGTCAACCCCAGAATGGTCATCTGAGCTCATTTTCATAATGTTTTGTTGTAGCTCACAAGTAAACTATAGCTCCTATAGGAAAGAACGTATCTAGTTATTAAATCGGCCCTGATCAGACCACTCATGGGATGGTTGGTTTAGGGCTCGCTCATGTTTTAGTTTGCTTTGACTGGAGCTCCCTTCATGCTTATGAGTTGAGCATTGTCGAATATTTATTTGTCTTCAGCATCTTTTGAATTGCAGCTCATTTTTGTTCTGATTGAGTTGAAGCTTTGTTGATTATATTATCCAAAAACATTCAATAGAGTCTATTTTGAGAAATCTATTTTATTGAACAAAATCTATTTGTTTATAATCAAAATTTTGATATCTAGACTTGCAATATGTATTCAGATTATTAATCAAACAGGAGACCAAATTAATGATGTCCACAGATTCATCAATGTTCAATTGTGACATAAAAATGTTCAATGTACTTTTAATTTGATAGATTGGCATTTGATTTGATTTGACCAACTTCTTATGATACAACAACACACAAAATGTGGGGTTTGCATGTTCTTAAATACAATTCAGGTTAGCTTCATAAATTGGTATCTAAATCATCTATAAGGTTGAGCTTGCGCGGTTGTTCGTCTCTGTGTGACACAATCTGTCCAGGGTGTACCCCAGCTCTCACTCAGTGAAATATAAGAAAGGCTCCCCCATGACCCTACTAATAAGCTGGTAAAGGAAAAAGGACTAATGGTTTCCAGGCAGTTTTGTTATCCAATTGTCAAATGTGGTATTAAAAACCTCAGACTAAATTTCCGTTTGGGATGACTGTGATGAATATGACCAATAGGCCTGTGCATGAGTCATTTGACTACTCTTTTGTGTCAATAAAATTAAAGGTCATTTTTATTTCTACATACAATAAAACTTTATAAAAAAGAATACAACCTTCATGTTTTGTGTCATTTCTTTAAATTTGCAACTTTACCTTCCTGTTTCCTCGCTTGCTAGCAGTAAGCAGCCTCTTCTCAATCCGCTGAGGGCAATATCAATAATTTATTTGACAAAGAAAACATACTCACTTAAATCCTAAAGAGCAGTTTTGATTCAGTGAACACTGGCCAAAAACAACACTTAAAAAAAGCACAATTGAAAGGGCTGTTACATTTGCCCCATTATTCAGGTTTCATTTAACCTCATGTCTTCAGATACACATGACATCACTCCCTCCCCCTGTTGCTAACCACAGACCACATCACAGTCTAAATCTGTTATGACCCAGTTCGATGACCACAAAATGTCCACCGTGTAAGAACTAATTGTGCACTTTTTTAAAATGGATTAACAGTTATAGCCCTCCATTAAGAAGTTCTACACCCACCGCATATTAGAATAATGATGTACTGATCTAAACCAGCTCAAGGGTAAATCTTTGAATTAGCATCTGATATCTGTTCTCATATCTAATGTAATGACGGTTGAATAATGACAGGATTAGTTAATCTGGCCATATGGCTTTATTGGGCCTAATCTGTTTATTAAAAAAAATACTAAATGGAAGGCTAATAAGAGCACATCTAAAAAAAAAAACACATAAGGAACAATAAGAAATAGCAAAACATTGGTCATCATTTTAATAGTCTGTTTGTAAACCGTAACATCTACGAATGATTTTATGCAAATATTAATCTAATTTTGAGCGGAGGAGATTATGTTTCTCTTCACAGGGCCCCCTCTGGGTCCCCGGACCAGAGCTTGGGATTCCTCACCCGGAAGTGGGTGGTGGACTCACCGTCACCCAACTGGTCACACCACCGTCGACACAGTGACTACTGGGATGTAGCTCACCTCCGGAGAATAACAAATACTATTACAAATCTGAGACTATATTGGCGGGGGGGAAAACTGAAAAGGGTCTAACATAAAAACGTTTACCTCTTAGGGAGAAGGGAGGAAAGACCAGCTACCAAAATGATGGAAGAGATAGACAGATTTCAGGTGCCGAGCGCGGTGCAGGAGGCAGAGATGCAGTCAGAGATGCAGCCGCTGGTAAGTGCCATTTATGTGCTGCATATTACCGTGTTTTTCTCATTCATCGTGACATTTAGTGGGGGGGACACTTCGTGGACGAGGCCTGGCTTTATACAGCTCTGAGTTTCTGACACATCCATCACCTGTCATGAGTGATGTTGATCTAGAATTTGCGTCTTTTCGGCAAGTTTTGTTTCGACCGCTGTCAAAGGGGAAATGTGTGTATGCTCGTTTGAAACGCCACATAGTAGTGAAGTGCTCAGAAGGATTCATATATTGTTGTTCTGTGCCATGAAGGCAGCGTCCGGTCTGCTGCGCAGCATCCGACATGTCTGGCGAAAAACAAGCATCCCATCCCGCGCCGCTGCGCTCCATCCTCCCCATCCGCGCAGCATCCAGGCTCCCTCACTAAAGCCGCTGATCAGTTTAACCAGATCAGGGACGGGCTCGTGATCTCGAGTGTGTGCTTGCTCACGCTATTAGACCTACATCTTTTGGCAGGATCCCGTGTGGACGGTGTGGCGGTGCGCTCCGTGGCCTGTAGCGGAGCCCCGGCTCACTGCAGCCCGCAGGGCGGCCTCTGCTGCCCACTGCCGGCCTGTTCCACAGCCAGACAGCAGTCCGGCGATCTCAGCTGGTGTTTGTCCAACTCCCACGTTCTGATTTTTCTCGCCGCTATTTAACAAAAAAAAAAATTGTAGCCAGGGGTCTATTTGAGCGTTTCTGTAAGTGGGAGAAGGAGACATGACCAAGTGAAAGATCTTTTTGAGTTTTGCATGTTGCACTCACTATTTCACTTTTTACACCACATTAAAAGTTCAAACATTATACTGTGCAAAATAAAAAGGCATTAATGATTAATTGATAATTCCCAGCTTGCCCAGTAAAGTCAATTTTTGCTCATCCTTCTGTCTGAGCTTTTTTTTTTATTTGTTGTCTCCAGGACCCAGCCTCCTCTACTGCTTCAGAGGCAGACTCAGACACCAGGGAGGGGGAACCTGTTACCATCAACTACAAGCCCTCCCCGCTGCAGATGAAGATCGGTAGGCGCTCTAGAATTTGCATACAAAACATTTATTTGGAGGTTCTGTTCCACAATTTGAAATGACGAGTCCTGTGGAAATAGTTAAAACAGAGACAGGTATGGACCGCAATTTCAGGGCTGTCTGTTTCGTCACTCTGTGGTGAAGAAACTACTTTGTATTTTCATTATTTCTAGTCTGTTAAATGTTTTCTATGATCAATCCACTGATCTAGTCTACAGTGTTGCACACTTTCAGAGTTCAAGAAGCCCACAAGGTAATATCTTCATCCTAAATACAAAGTGAAAACATCTGACAGGTGAATTTCAGCACCTTGGACAGAGTCCAGTACTGAGTCGCTGGAGTCATCCCTTTCCTTAATAGAATAAAGGAATGTAACCTGAAAAAGACACTCATCTGCCATGTATTAACATTTTAGTACAGCAGATACTGTGGTGGTTTGTCATATATCTGCTTCGCTGACCACAATACTGTGTATGCTTTTTTAACTAACTAACTTTTGACAAATAAAATCTGGTTGTTTTTATGTAAGTAAAAAAAGTAATGCTTACTCCCAGTGTCAAAACCCAACACTTCCTGGTCATCTGACCAGAAAACTAGAAATGTATTTACCTGCATGTGTCCAGTATACATTATTTTTCAATATTTTATACAATCCTTGTAGTCCTTATAATTCTCTTAAAACCCCCTTGTCTGATTCATATACTGTAACACTGGCAAGTATGACACATTGCTGGTATTCAGTGATATTTTTCTTGTGAAATCTGAGCATCCCTTTATAAGTCATTTAAAAACTTGAGCAGAGTTCCATAGTGTTTACATCGCTGTTTCAATGCTTTCTTTTTTTCCCTCTTCAAATATCAAAGGGGTTGTTTTAGTCTCACAATGTCTGCAAAAATAACCTGTTTGTTTGTTTATCTCACTTGTGCAGAGAAACAGAGAGAGCTGGCAAGAAAGGGTTCACTGAAGAATGGCAACCCTGTAGGTAGTCCAGTCAACCAGCAGCCCAAGAAGAATAACGTTATGGCCAGAACACGGTAAGAAGTGAACACTGTGCCCTAACGGAACCACCTCCGCTGAATAAAGGGCTCAGATATAAACTCAATCCAAACGCCGGTTTATCGTTTTCTGGTTGAGTATTTCTGTGTTTTATTCAACGATGCCTAGAGACTGCAGAATCTTTATTGATCCATGTGAATGGGATGCACACAGAAGCCACAAAACATTGCAACATTAAAAAAAAAATCGATGTTTTTGTTTTAGCTATTTATTCACGCTCACTAACTCACCGCCTCTCAGTAACATAAAGAACTTGTTTGATATATCACAGAATTTTTTATGCCTTCATTGGTCAAAAAGCAGTTGGAATTGCTTTATTGATTCTGGGCTTGTAAAATTACTGAGTCAGAAATTAGACCTGCTTCATGCTTCTGTTGTGCCTGTTGTGCAGCCTCAAGGTCCTCTCTGATTTGCTCTCATCATCTCTGATCTCACTCCTTTCTTCTGGTTGGTCAATCTATTTTCTCTCCGGCACCTCTTTCTGCAGCTGATCATTTTGTTCTGTCGGTTACCTCCCTGTAGGTTGGTAGTGCCCAATAAAGGCTATTCCTCTCTAGACCAGAGCCCAGACGAGAAGCCCTTGGTGGCCTTAGATACAGACAGGTGAAAACACAAACACACACGTCAATATGCATCTTCCCTCTAATTGCTAAAAGTCACACTGAGAGTGATCATTTACTGACATGGGTTTTTGTGTTTCAGTGATGATGATTTCGACATGTCTAGATACTCTTCATCGGGATACTCGTCTGCCGAGGTGAGATGAATGATGAGTTTTGCTTCATTTTCTCATATCTGCTGTCTGATTCCCCATATCTCTCATTGTTTTATTCCTATTCTTAATGGTTGTCAAGGTGCTAAGAGTCGGGCCTTTTTAAGCCAGTTCAAAGCAAGTTACAGTGCCCCCATCGTTTTTCATCCCTGCTAATTCCCTAGGCGTGTGATCTCCATGCAGGGGCACAGTTGCACAGTAGCAGGTGCATCTCTGCACAAATGAATATGACACATAAAGCAGGATATAAATAAAGCCAAATCTACTTTTTTTCTGCATCTTTAATGCTTGTATTGCATTAGGCTGGAAATATAAGAGTAGGTCACAGGTGCATCGTCATTTCTGTTCTTTACAGAGACTTTGATTTACAAACCCACTCACCAATGTATTTATTTATTTTGGTAAAAGAAAGGGTTAGCTTTTGGTTTTATGGTATTGTGTTTTCTAATTCGGATGCCCCCCTTGTAAACTGCTAACGATCAGTGTGCGACCCAGTTTTCTTGTTTGCCCCTTTTTCCTGTTCCTCTTCTTTCGGACGAGCAAGCTGTGAGCATGCAGCTGTATTTTGTGCTGTTGTGCATATATGTATGATGAAAAATAGATTGTTAGGTAAGATTTATAAGATAAAACCAAAGTTCTTAGATTTTGGATTGAGGTTTTAACAAAGACTGTAATTTTTGGATATGATGAGTCACCCCAGAAATGTCATGATTGTGACGAAAATCTTAGTGACTATGTTTAATGCCATCTGTGAGTGAGCCACATCGTGCTCTGCCAGTTACCACAGTAACTTTTTCTGGCCTAATTTGTTTATCCATATTAAAGTCAAACTCTCTTCAGATGTGTTTGTGACAAAAAAGTAATGCTAGATAGATCCAAAGGGGGACAGTTTTATCATTGCAGGACATGACAGTTGTTTTCAGATTGGCTATGTAAATATACATGCTCTCAGTCAATAAACTCTATAGATGTGTGTTAAGATGAGGGCGGATTTTAAAGATGACTGCAAAGATGTAAATTACCCTCAGTGAAGGATTTAGGATATCTATCCAGTGGGCTTTAATGCAGTCCTCTGGAAAACTTACACCCAAAAGCACCTCAGAGGTGGAGTGTGCGTGTCACAGTCACATGCTGACTGCTCTAAAATGATACACATGGTGAGGAATGCACATGAAACAATAAAACACATGAAACAATAAAACAAATTAAACAATAAACATTGCAGGACAGGATGGAACCACAAAGCGTTCTGACTACTGTCGTTCAGAAACCCCACAGCTAAGGAAAAAACACCTGCACTGGCATAAGCTTTCACTAATTCACCTCAGGCTATTACACGAACATTAGAGACTTCCCCTCAAGAAGATTCAAACTGCCAAAACCGTTAGATTTACATTTGTTGCTGACAGCCCCAATATAGGGCAAATGCACTTACTTGACTAGCATTGAATTATCTGGAGATGTGTAATAAAGTGAAGAAACTTCTTATATGCTCTGTATTAATAATTTTATTATGTATTATTATCAATATATTTATTTCACTTTTTGGTCATTAGAAATTATTGATTTAATGTTGCAGACATTTCAAAGGTCTGAACCTTGATGGGCTAAATTAGGTTTAAGAATTTGTAAATTATTTTAAACAAAGTTCAAGTTTGTTTAGGAACTACAGAAAACCAGTCGCTTCTCTCTTAACAAGACGTGTGGGAAATAATCCCTCAACCCGGTCTGTCCTCTCTTCAGCAAATTAATCAGGATCTGAACATCCAGCTGCTGAAAGATGGCTACCGCCTTGATGAGATCCCAGATGACGAGGACTTGGATCTGATTCCACCTAAATCAGTCAACCCCACCTGCATGTGCTGCCAGGCGACCTCCTCCACCACCTGCCAGATCCAGTAACCCCGCCCCCGTCCAGGCCTTCTGCCCTGTGCCCCTTTTCGCACAACATGACCCCTGTCTTCATCTGCTGTGAGCTGACCTCACCACCGGTGTGGCCACGGTGAGGCGTTGGTAGAATATCGTCATGACAGTAAAGTCCCACGGTGATAACGACAAATATTCAAATTAACAACTGCAAACTATGGTTTAAAACTTAGAGGAAGGAACAAATATGAGAATAATCAGTCTGTATTTAAGATACGAGCAAAGAGGTGGATTCCTCCTATGGCAGGACGTACACTTCGGTTTGAGAGCTCCTCTCCTCGACATCAAGTAACACACTGATATTAGCCGAAAGACAAGAAAAAGGTCAGTTGACGCTGTGAGGTTCATTAGATTATCCTGAAGTTAACTGCTCTCTCTGCTGCTCTGCTTACCTTAACTCTGGATTGTTTTTTTTCTTTTCTTTTTTTAATCTAAAGCTTATTTTGTTTTTAAACCTGATGATGGATCGATTAGATTCTGTTTGTTGGTGTGCAGACATAGGGAGGGGGTGTGGACTCTGTTATCTGCAGGATCAAATGGAGGATCTCTGATACTGTGTTCACTGTACTTTTGAGAGTGGTAATGTAGCGTAGGCCGGGTTATTGGAGCGCTTTTCGACTCTTCCGCTGCCTCCCTGGTGCGAGATGCTACATCACAGAGTTTAGATATGAATGTATGAACGTGAATGGCTGAGAAGCAAATAGCATGACGAGCACTGGACTGAATGGCCGGGTGAAAAACAAAAAGCAAGTAGCTTTTGCACATTTGATTTCCGTTGAGCAATCACATGCTACTGCTGTGGCACTAGCCTGACTAGCATTCTTTGGAATTTGCACATTTTGTTTTCTTTTTGTTTTATAGGCCCGTATTTCTGTACTCTTTCCTGCACAGCTGTGACAACAGCCTATCAGAAATAAACTGTCTAAAGGGAAGACCACTCATGGTTTAAATCTGATCTTCTAAAAATGACATTGACGTGATCCATATGTTAACAAGGCCAAAGGAATGGAAGGGGGATTTTAAAACGATTTTCTGTTAGTTTGCTGTGTTAACTCCTTTCTTTTTTATCCCTCCTCAATGTCACTTAATGTGACAATCACTGGACACTGCAGAGAAACTAGAAGAACACACCAGACAAGGAGGATTTCCCCTTTTCTCTTTCACACATGCATGCATGCGTAGACCAACAATGCCAAAAATAATGAGTCAGACAACAAAATGTCTTCTTTGACCGATAGGATTAAAAGCATTTTGTAATTGCAACATCCAGGATGGTTGAGTTGGAGGAGTGTTATCCTTTATTTGCAACCCTCTCCATTCTCGCAATCAGTTGCTTTTATTTGCAATTAGAGTATGCCTTAAGTACAGATCATTCTGAAGCTGTGTGTATTCATTGTTGTCTTGATTCTTTGGTTTATCTGAATAGCATTTGCTGTTGATGAAATTACCACTTTTTTTTAACATGTAGATGCAGGTAATAACTATTACTGGGTTCCCTTTTTTAAATGATTTTCTGTATTGTAAGCACTCCCATTACAGTATTTAACAATGTTATTGTTATGTGCAGTGTATGAAGATGACAAATAAATATAAAGCAAAATGGAAGGCTCAAGTGAGATATTGGCTTGAAATGCGAATAAAGGAGGCATGAACAAATATTTAATAAGGGAAAAAAGGTATTTTAATGTTTAAACCTTGAGCAGTAATTATTACATAGCTATGTATATTGCAATAACATAGTGTTTGCATTGTCAGTCCCTGATTACAGAACAGTAGCGTCAGAAGAAAGGGCTTCAACCTGACAGGCACCAGCATCTAATCACAGTTATAATGCCACAAAAGAAAAACATCGTTTCACTTAGCAACTGAATGCAGTCCGTCTCCTACAACTACATTTCTCCACCTGGACGTTTGAATGCATCGTGAGAAATATAAAAAGAAACTAATGACATCAGCGATGCATCCGGCTCACATAGTGAAACAATAAGACCTCTCATTCCATTAGTTACATTACAAAAGATTACTAGACAAAGGAAATGAACTGTACCAAATAAATGCATAAGAGCATGCTACATGATGGAAACGAGTCACAGACGAACTATCTAACGATGAGGGCAGACCTTAAAGTGCTAGAACAAATAAGCAGGTCTTGTATTTTGTCAGTGTGAGAAATGTTGTGCTTCCGTGTCACCGCTTGGGGGTGTAGGCTTGATCGACATGAAACACAGTATAAAATGCAGTCAGCGCACGAACACGTGAAGTTTCAGCATACAGAAACCGGCACCATTGGTATCAGAGACAGTAATCGATCTACTGATCGTTAAAGTATCTATGAAAAGCAACAGAAAGAACGTGACAATGTTCATTCAAGTGGTGTTTTCCCCCAGAAACATGATGAAAATGTATAAAGTCCCCTTTGCTTAAAAAACCCGTCAAAAGGCACAGACTTACACTAAACGTAAATCACCAGTCTTAATGCTGAAGTGTTTCAGCTTCAAGCACAAAAAAAGTGACGGGTCCAACTTTTAAATGGCTTTACCCTGTTATTTTGCCCTGCGCACAATTCAAGTCTGAACACAAATACTGAGGTGTGACTCCCCGTGAGAGTGGCTCATGTTTTTATGTCTTTCTAAAGTTGTGTAAATGTATTTGGTACATGTATATGCAAGTTGATTGCTATATGAAAACAATTCAATTTCAACACAACAAACACACACAAAAGCATATAACACACAAGTAAGTCCAAAGCCAAATATATAAAATTAAATAGGTAAGCTCTGTATCTCTATATTTATACAGTTTTCTTATTATTCTCTAATTACACTCAACTACAATATGCTAAGCAGCTCATCCAGTATATTGTTTGTATTTACACGGTAATACTGCTAAACTGTGCATTCATTTAGTCCTGGACCTAAAAGCAACTGTACAAAAGTGTATGATACAATAGTTAACATTCACTAAAGGACTAGTTTCAACATTTCTCAACAGACCAGAAATCAGTCCACTGTAATATTTTATTGACTACTCTACATGTTGCTGTCTTCATCTTGAAATGAAGTTTGAGGCAAAGTGAACACACGTAGTGTTTATAAAATGCAATACTGTACATATGCGCGAAAACCACTTTACTCATTCAGGGGAAAAAAAGAAGAATTTATGCACCAATTAGATGAAGCAAAAGAACTCAACCTTCCTGACAGATCCTGAGTCACCCCTTAAAGAATGCGAGTTATCTCAGGGAATAAGACCGTGAGCTGTAGTTTGACTACACTCAGGTTCCAAATGTCACTATTTGCAGTTGCACAACATTAAATGTGCCAAAGAAAAACTGCCTGGACTGTGATCTGGCGGGTTTAGATATTTCCCCCCCCCCCCTCCCCATTGACAGTTTTCATGAAAAGGTCTACCAAACACAGATGAAGGTTTGTACGCTTCGGTATCCACATGCACCTGTGTGACAGTGTGGATAATGTGTGGGTGGGTGGGTCACACTCCAGCGGGGCTTTGGTCCCCGGAATCCGAGGAGGACATGGAGCAGCGGCGTCTCTTGGCGGCGTTGGAGCCCTGCAGCATGCTGGGGTGGAAGCCGGCGTGGCGGCGGGCGTGCTTGGTGAGGTGGTCGCTCCTCATGAAGCACTTGTCGCACAGCGGGCAGTTGAAGCGCTTCTCGCCCGTGTGCGTCCGGTAGTGGCGCGTCAGCTCGTCTGAGCGGGAGAACTTCTTGCTGCAGTCCGGCCAGGTGCACTGGAAGGGGCGCTCACCTGAGGACACACACGGAGGGTTTGTCGATAAGGGGAACCCTGAGATACACTGGTGTACAAGCAGTAAACCAGTGTTTCCTAGCCCTGGTTCACAGGGCATGCTTGTCCCAAGTTTCTCTACTCCTACACGCATGATTCAAATAAATACTAAAAGACCCATGTATGCAGAACAGCGTGCCTTTAGGACCAGGGTTGGGACACACTGGCCTAAATGACCCCACTTAAGTACAAGAGTGGAGTTGGAGGGTAATACCTGAAACCTGACAGGACAGAAAATACATAGCTGAGGGCTAGAATTGGATATTTATGAAGAAGAGTCTAATGATGCGTGAAATGTTTTGGAGAACGAGAAGTCCACCTGAAAAAAACGTCTATTTCGCTGTAAATATTAGTCAGACACTTTAAACATATCTTCGATGTGGGTGTGAGGGACAGATGTATGGAGAAGCCCCTGGAGGACAATTCACTGGAAACTTGATTTACATGCAAAGTCTAAATATAGATCAATATTTTTTTCCCAACAATTTCTGATAAAGGTAGTCAATCTTATAACCAAACCGTTTTGATTCATTTTTAGGGTCATTAAAACTATAACTTGCTCTTCAACAAACACATCTTCAAGGACGATAATATTAACTTAATTATTCAGGAAAATGGGCAAAACTCATCAAAGATGTTGGGTGTTTTGACAAGAGAAGGATCAAGTATTCCGTATTCTCACTTGATTTAGTGGCTCATAGCAGTAACCCATAAAGTGTCCATGAAGACGGACTGCATCTCCATCTTTTCAAGTCCATTTGACGTTCTCAGAATTGTGGAGGAACTTTTATTCTTTACTGATTTGAGAATATTTTTGTGTACAAAAAAAGCTCCATGAAGAGAACTGGTTATTATTTTTTTCACCGCCTTGCTATTTAGGGCCTTGACCACGCACAGTGATTTTGATGAACGAGCCAAACTCTCCTGGTCAGACACATTCACACAGCACTTTGTCGTCTGAAACCTTTTAGTTTTTTAAGCTCAAGCAGAGCCTTTTCCCCCTCTGCTCTCCTCATACGCAGAAACCCAGATGGATGCGTTGATGACTACGGGGGTTTCAGTGTCGTATCAAAAGTCATTTTTCCATGTGGACTGGGTTAGCAAGAGGTCAGACCACAGATCTGATTGAGGGACAGCTGCTCTACCTTCTGAGCCTCACGTGCCGCCCACTGCAGCCCTCAGAAGCTCCTGCCTCTGCACTTTAATTACATCCCACTCTGGACTTTGACCCGGTCATTACAGCATTCTTCTCTTTTTCAGCCGTAGATTTGCTGCTGTGCTCCGGGTCGTTATCTCGTCGTATGACCCAATTTGAGCCATGTTTTGGCAGCTGGACAGAGAGCCTTCCACTTGACTCTGGAACACTGGATCTCACAGGGTAAACTCTGTGGTGGACCTAAAGACGGCCCCTCCTAAAGGTGCACAGGCAGCCCCTCCAACAAGCTGCACTGGTTTTTTTGTCATCCACGCCCGATTTGCTGAGAGTCCGTGATGTTGCTGCCTTTTTTTGGTAGTTTCATTGAGGGAAGTTTCTGGGACATCCAGCAAGTTGAAACGATTGGCAGCTGTCATGAGTGTTTTTCCGCTTGTGATCAAACTTTCTTGTTCCTGAATGGATTTGACATAATTTGGGAGATGGACTGCAGATGGTGTTGGTCCTCTTTTGGCATAGCGTTAAGACACACCTGAATAATCCAAAACTGATGAGCTGTTAAAAAAAAAAAAAAAAAAACTGCTTTTCTGGAACTGCGCACACTTGATGATTATATTTAAACTGATGGTGTTTGATTACCAGTATCTAGCTGCAACTTTGTCTTTTCATTCTTGTAAAAGCAGTGAGGGTTTTTTCTCTCCCGGCTCTGACGTTTCGACTCAGTTCAAGTTCAATAAAAATAGCACAGTCTTATAGGGCGTGCATCATTGTTCATCTGCTGCCCTCATTTTACAATACTGTAAGATTTATATTCTTATCCAGATGTGCAAAACCTTAGGTGTTTGTTGTCTTTATTTTTCCTAAATGGACATATGTGGCCAAAAATGGAATATTGGATCATTTTATTAATAGAATGACCGACTGACACAGAAATCTGGAAGAATATTGCGGTGCGATGAACAGATAAGGCCAGATCAAAAGCTAATGTTGTCAACAATTATCCTAATGACAGCAACAACACAGATTACCAGCAATGACACGATTAAGGCTGAAAAGGATACTCCATGGAAAAGCCCTTAGACTTAGGACTTTTCCACGAAAGATAAGAGCCGTCTTCCTTCTTAGAAATACCTCCCAGTACATATTGATTTAGAAATGAACAAGAACAAAAATTGGTATCAAGAAAAGGCAGACAGGAAGCCACACCCCAGATCCTTCCCCACGTGCTCCGGCAGACCACATGCCTGCTCTTGTTTACAACTCTCCTGTGCGAGGGGAGGGCGGCGGGGCCGGTGACGTATGAGGAAACTGGTGCAGGGTGGGTTACCTCCAGACAAGAACATGTGGGGACAACAATGTCGCAGTGACCTGTCTGTGGATTATGAGCCGGAGCGTCTTTCGGAGTCTCTCTGCTGCTAAACAAACCGTGATCACACGCAGCACATCTGATCACCGTGTGCGTGACACCGGGTGGGGGGTGTGTGTGTGTGTGTGTGTGGGGGGGGGGGGGGGGGTTCACCGCACCCCGGCGGGCTGCCACGCAGCGGCACGTGGCGTTCCCACCAGATCCGGTTCTGCTGCGTGTCAACAACGCACTAAGATACCTTTATCTCACACACACACCCCCCACCCCCACCATCCCCATCCCCCTCCCCCCACCCCACTAACAGGCGCGGGCCGGTCAGTCACACCCCCCCAGCGGGCGAATCCGTGGAACGTGCCGTTCGATTTGCAGGGGACATGTGGTCACGTACAGTCCGCGAGTCGCCAAAAGCCACGACGCACACCGTGGATAATTTCTGCCGTTTTCATTCGGTGTGTCATTAAAGCAATTAAACCGGCCTCTGAGTTCGTGATCACATCAGTAGGACCGGCTTTTTTTTTCCTTTAAAAAAATCTAATAAAACGGCGTTGGCGTTGTATGGACCGGCTAAGGCCGGGAGTCTTTCCGCGGACGTGCGTCAGTGACGCAGCGCGGTTTTGCTGTCGTCAACAGAACCCGCTTTGAGTTCCGTAGGCGTGTCAGCCGGCAGACCCCCCCCCCCTTACACACACACACACACACACTTACCGGTGTGGACCCTCAGGTGGGCTTTCAGGTGGGACGACTTGCCGTACATCTTCCCGCAGCCGGCGAAGGGGCAGCGGTGCCTCTTCTCGGGGGAGTCCTGCCGGGCCCGCGGCTTGTGCCGGGGCCGCGGGGGGGCCTCCGGGCTGCCGCCCTCCTCCTCTTCCTCCTCCTCCTCTTCTTCCTCCTCCGCCCGGGGGCCAACTTCGCTGCCCCCGAGACATCTGCCGGCCCCGGCGCCCAGGGCGTCCGGGCCGCACTTCTTCAAGTCCAGTAAAATCATGGCCACCATGAGCAAAGTCCTGTTCTCCTGGTTCTCTTTCAGTACGTCCTCTGTCCGTCCAGGGGAACGGCAGGGGACGCGGTCCGCAGAGACGTCCACCTCCGACATCAGAGCAGCACAACCGGGCCGATTAAAAAAAAAATATATATATATATATATATATGTATAGAAACCGGTCCCTTTCCAGAGGTTATATCTTCAGAAAACAAACCAGAAAAGCGGAAATGGGAAAAGTCCGGCCGTAGTCCTCCTCGGTAACGCGGGTAATCATCCACACGTGTCGTCTTCAATGTGACTATTCCGCAAAGACTGCGCGTTTTCTTACTGAGGATGCTGGGCGGACAAATAAACACCGCCTCAGGAAAGATAACAGTTTGAATCAATCCCAAGGTCTTCCTCTTCCCGTTTCACTCGCGCCTCTCTCTTCAGTCGCCGGGTTGATAGAGAAGGGTCATTTTTCTCGCCTGAGCCTTAATGTCTGCGTGTATTTCGCCCTTTTCTTGCCTTCCCACTCATGCGTCAACTTGTCCTATTTTCCTGAGAGCTGCACTTCTCTCAACTCCAAGAAACATTTTCGCGGAATCCTACGGTGTCATAATAAAGCAGGGCTCTGATTGGCTGATAGGAAACGTGACCGGTATTTGGAATTGCCTTTTTACTGCAGTGACTGACGGCCCGCTGGACCAATCAGAGACTGGGGTTAGTAAAAAAAAAAAGAGGGCTGGATCAGAATCGTGTTACATTTAAGTACTTATCGTGACTGGGAAATAAAAGAATCGGGTTGAAAAAGATGAATGTTGGATTATCAGATAAGAAATTCTGCAAATACAAGACCGATTAAGTTTCTTGGTAATTTAGCCTTTTAACAAAGTTTTGTAAAAATAAAAAATGCCAAATCAAAAGTACATTAAGATTGTAATTGCACTATATCTGCAGAAAAAATGCCACAAATCTTAACCATGTAAAGTTTTCTCCTCAACATCTCACCAAAACTTTGTCACAACTTTTTTAAACAGCATTCGAAAACACCTGTTGTACTTTCCACTTTGCCATCTGCTGTCATCTATAACAATAATATATCTAAGACATGTCCTGGCAAAAGCCTGACACTATCTGATGAATGCAAAAGAAAAAGGGAGACCCTGTTTGGTTTGTTCGATGTAATAAGACCCAGCCACTGTAGTCTAGATACTTTAGCTGAAAACATGTCTCACTATGTTCCAGTTTCACAACCTGATCCTAATTTAGCTTGGCCCCCAACTGTCCTCAGAGCTCCATTTGAACTCTTCAGTGCCAATAGAAATGAACTAATTAGCCCATTTTTAGTTCTTAAAAACAGGAAACATGTATTTGTATGACACAAATAAAATGTCTTAATTGGTAATTAAAATAGTTATTATAAGAACTGTTCATCATGTTAAAGCTGTCTAATGCCAGCACCCTCATTGCTTTGGTGAACATGCTGTACCTAACACAACTACCCACACAAGCTTTGGATTGTGGACCAAAGGTGTTTATGTGTTCTTTTCTTGGAATAATACTCTGGCTAGTGCAAAAATATGATTAGGTTACATATTCATGGAGTTTATGCAGAAAACTTCCATATCAAGACAGGAAAGTTAGGAAAAATAAAATCACAATTATATATGATACATTTAGACAAAGTTGTCTTCATTTACACTTTGACAGGATTAGTGACACTTTCTGTACTTTGTGATAAACAAAGCACCACAATTGCATTATGTTCCTCTTATTTTCTAACAGGATTGCAATTTTCCTTCTTTGCAGCCTCAAAACTTTCATAGTTGTTTAACAGTGCTCTCTTAAATCTGACAGGGTGCCTGTTCCAAAAAATAAATGAAAGAATAACAAATGATGATGCGTGTAACATTAATTCAGTCTGCAAGACTACTATGCACCCATTTGCAACAGGATCCCTCAGCTTTAATAGCGCCTACATGCCAGTGGGTGGTTCACACATGACCAAGTTCTTAGAAAATCCTACTGAGATTTTTGGGGGTGTGGGGAACGGTCAGTGCCTGAGTAGTTTCCCTTTGTATGAACTTAAGATCATTTCCCCTGCCATTGTTTATGAGAACGACCCTCACAAAGGTGTTTTTCTGTATGTTCATACAACTTAAGAGGAAGTCAAATAAAGGTGTATTTTCCTGGTATGTATTGTTTACATTTCATACATTATGTATTGTATACATTTCGTAATGTGTGATGTCAAAAAGTGATGTAATTTCAGGCTATAGAAAGCACCACCCTCCCATAAGACAGACAAAAATCTTTCTTCTGGGGGGTTGAAGTAAGGGTAAACTCTGCCAGGGCTGCAGCATTGAGCCTCTACCCTAAAGCAGAGTTATCTAAATCCCTGAATTTACCAACCGAATGTTGACACGACACGAGAGACTAATTGTACGAGAGGAAATGTTCAGGCGGACAGAAATACCAACACAAAGTCCCTATTTGTGTTCCACAGAGTCAACAGTGCAGAGACATCTCAGCCTTTTCCCAGGATCACCCTCAGTGGAACCCTGCTCCCCTCCCCTGCCGCACTCCATTCAGTAGCAGAACCCTCAAATTTCCAAGAAACAATCTAGTTGACACCGTGGTCTTGTGTGGAAACCCCCCCCACCTTCCCGATGAATCCTGAGCAGAGCTGTAAACGTTTGTGCAGAAGAGGAGGCGCACCGGGCCTGAGTCCCGTCTCCCCGGCTCTCAAAAGAGCAAAAGTTCAGGAGTGCACGGCGTTTCTGGGTCATGTCGCGGTGTTGACTCGATTGTGGCGAAGATAAAGTTGTTTTTCGAGAGTGTGGGCGCGTGCGTGCGCTGTAACAGAGAGGAGGAGGAGGAGGAAGAGGGGGGGCCACGTGCAAAATCTCGGTACAAAATGTTCCCATCCACGTGCGCAGTGTGAGCTGACACATCACTGTTGGCCCCGCTCCCTTCCGTGAACAGCCCTTCTCTCCCAGACGCGCACACGCACACGCACGCGCGCTCACAGCTCGCGGTCCCGCTCGAGTCCGTCCTGTCTGAGAGGTGTTTACTCGCGAGCACAGACTGCACAGCACGGCGTTTTACACACCCCACCACTGGAAGATTAATAACCAGGAGTCTAATGCAAAGTCAACAAATGGAAAAGGGAATGATGAAACTATTAACAGAGCACGTGGACATGAGCAAAACATGAACATGTGTCATCTGAGATGATGCATGGAATGTTTTTACAATTTCAAGTAAGAACTGTATGTCCTCTTCTGCCGGAGAAGTTTTAAACCTGACAAGAGCACTTCACTCAATTATCTGGGTGACAGCTGGGGGGGCGGGGGTAAGCTGCTGCTGACACACAAACATACCAGAAACTGACACTTTTTTTTTGTCATTTTCTGCAAAGTATCCAGTTAAGGAACAGACAAGACACGTGGTACCAATCTATTTGTTTATTTAACAATGCATGCCAGACATGATCCTATTCACATTGAAGAATACATGTTTTTTATTTGCATCCAAATACTTACTACTTTGATTTCATATAATTATCTCTCTATACCTCTCTCTCAGTCACATTACAGGTCATCTCTGTACACGCCAAGTGGAAGAAGTGCATGCATGAAAAGGACAAAAAAATTAAGTGTGACCAGTAGGGGGATAATTCCCTTTTAGAACAACATGAGCAGTTATTGCAGAAGGAACATGTGCATGAAACTCCTCTAGTTTGTGAATCACAGGTTTCATTGCAAGGAAGAAAATTAGCTTTGATTATCATGAAATGTTCATGATTAGAATATTCCCAAAATACTGTACAATAAGATTCTATTTGGCTGTGTTATGTTGGCATGCCTCTCTATTATTAGTGCCCGCTAAATGTCTGAGTTCACACACAGGTTGAACACGCACACACTCACATGCACATCTATTTGTCTCTTCCACAACAGCCAACATCTCACACAACCATTAAGGAATCCTGTACATATATCTCTATGGCATGCATACCATTGGCATGTATGCTTTCTGGTGATCCTTACAATAAGGATAAAGAAAATATAAAAGATAAAATATATTTCCCATCAAAAGGTCGAACACCTTCATCTGCTTTCATACAAAAGTTGAGAACAGAAGTTCAACCTTGGCTTTGTTTATCCTGTCTGGCAGCCGAGCAGACAGAAGCCTTCCAGAACATTTCTCAGCTTGTTTTCTTTTGGTTTGACAATAATTGGTTTGGTTAAAAATGTTAGGGGAAATGTGCATGACCAAAACCTGCTCCTTGAAAACACAATTATTAAACTTGGCAAAACAAAGCGTCCCTTCATTTTGTCAGTACTGTTGGAAAGCACAGTTGAGCAGGTTGAACAGGTATGGAGACTTGCATTCACTATTCACATACTATTGCCTTGGGGAAAAAAAGAATAAATGACTACATCGTTTTCTATAAACCCCAAAGATTCTGGATTAGACTCAAAGCACAGTGATTAAAATGTTGTCTACTTAAAAACAACTAATATATTTTTCTTTCAACAGTGACATAGTTCCTATCCTGCTTCGCTGGGGTAAAATAGTCCCTGAGCACTGACCTGGGGGTCAACCTTCCTTCTGTTAATCTGAATGTATCTCACATATCTGCTGAAGAAACTTTACATCTGACCTTTTTCATGTAAACAGTGGCTATAACGTGCCTGAAAAGCCGTCAAACATGTATGATCTGTACTAACCATCTGTCTGTCATTCATTTTCTGGAGCCTTTAAGATTACAGGGACTCAAGAGGTTGCCTAATATTTGTATAGTATTATCAATTAAAGGCGTTTAATCAAGTCTGGGTTGTGACACAGATGACCCAGATGAATCAGTTCAAGCATAACGGAAGAGCTGCTCAATTTATGACTTGTATCATTTTTGGTGAATTAAAATAAATGCCCACACACGCAATGACACAACCAATGATCAGTAACAGCTCATTCACTCTGTACATTGGACCAGTTCAAAGAGATCAACAAAGTTCTTAGAGAAAATAGTCACCGATATATGACTACCATGAATAAAAACTGAGAGGACAAAAATGAGGAATTTCACAGGTTCTTGAATCACATCTGTCCCGACATACACCACTCCTGCCCAGAAGGCACCCTAAGTTTGGTATGCTGGCAACTGTGTTTTGCCACATTAACAATTAGAAAATTCTCATGAGTTGCTTCATAAAACACACAATAAAAATTACTTTAAATACTTTGAATATGATTGAAATGTACAAACTATTCTATATCCAATAAATAATATTATACATCATTATTTAGTGCATGTAGGTGGCCGTCTTTTATTAAATTCAAAAGCTTAATTAGAAAATACTTAGAATTAGACAAAAATGTCACTGAGAAATTCAAACAAGCATATATTTTAATTATCAGCAACGAGCAAGAAAAATATCAATAAATAGAATCATTATCTCAAAATGAAGCAACATGATTAAACTGAATTGTAATAGCCAGGAAATATAAAACATCAAAATCATAAAGGCTTCTATCAAGCTCATCCATTTTATTTGTACAAAGCTTTCTGAGAAAGACATTCTCCTCCCAACCAGACGTCTCCCAGTACAATAAAAAAGAGAAAATTTGAAAACAATAAACTGGCTTTCCTCTTTTGATGTTATTAGTAATTTCCACGTTTCATCCTACAAGTCACTCATAATGCACACCTTTTTTTAAATCTCAGCTAAAATGCATATACTCAACAGCTTATTCATAAGCTTTTTTTGAAAAATAAATTCTTAAAGTAGCTCCCCCTTTACAAGCTTGTTTTGTCCTGTAAACCACTGATAGGCTCGGTCATTTAGTGACTGCTTTCTTTTACAGTCTCCTAATGGTGGTTTGCTTTGACTACAACTGAAAATAACAAAGAAAAGCAAATGTCAATTATGGAACAGATAAAGGACGGATCTGTTGGGTGTTGCTGGATGTTGAAGTTGAATTTTACTGCTAAAACCTGAAAGAAGAAGGCTGGGTTATTGGCGAGCGACGGCTCTTTGAGATGAAAGATTTTTGGTGTCAGGTAGAGGCAAGAAAGGTTTTCACCACACGTTCACTTGTGTGGAATGACCTTGCAGTCAGGCTCATATCACTCTCTTCCCCCATCTTTTGCAACTGAACTCGTGAACATCTCCCCTATAGTAACTGAAGGATTTCAGAGGCAGTGTTTTTGTGTAGACAGTGTCGAGATGAGTGTATTTTTTTTTATCGAAGATCGTTTCATACTTATTGGCCTTCAAAGCTCTTGTTACCCACATCGTCTGGCAAACACATGGCTCAAGCATGAACAGGCAAGCTCAAGCAATGACTTCTTCACTGAAGTATGTTCAAATCAGCTTTCTGGTTTTAGCTGAGCTGATGAGAAAGTTGAAGTGTTATTTTAGAGAAAAACAAAGTGACAGCAAACATGAATCCCTGTTAAAAAAAAGTCATTGATTAGGTAAGCTGATTACTTTAATCGTTTGCTTTCTTATTCAGAGGTAAGTTGTTGACTTTTTTCTTTTTTTTTTGTAACCACAAAATTTGAAGTGTGGTCGAGCCCAAAACCATTTGTACGTGATTTGTATGCGAAGTCAGCTTCTTCCTGCCTATCGGAGCTGGGACCACACAAGTCTGAGTCAGAATTACACAATGAGCAGAAAATAGTTTGCAGTCGTGATGCCAAGAGTAAATGATTAACGTAGTAGTAGTTCTCCTCTCCTCTCCGTGCTTCTCTCCTCTCTCTGTCTCAGCCTTAACAGCATCTACCACATAATGCAGCTAGGAAGAATACACTGTGTCTAATGTGACTGATATGTGATGCAACACAGTGACAGATGTCTACTTGATGTAAAATTGGTTGGTGGAAGACATACATCACAAATACACCTTCCATTGCCATAACACCCCATTAAAAGTTACTTAACTATAAGAGGTAAAAACTAGTCTAGATTCAAAGCTCTTTGTTTTGACTCATGAACACGGGACCTTTGAAATTCTCTGCCCCTATGGCCACTCGTTGTGGCTCTGGGTAAAGCTGCCCTTCAATACTGTCAATACTGACTAGGAGTAAACTTTTCTAACCTAAAATGCAAGTGTAATGAGTGTAGATCTGGTTCAGATCAGCATCCCCTGGGAACGTCATCCCACTTTCATTTTTGCCCTGTCCGTCTTCCACCCTGGCCCTAAAAGTGTGAGTGCACCCATGTGTCCTTGTCACGTGTAGTTTTGTCTCTCAAAGCTGCGGAAAGCCGACGGAGCTGCTAGCTTCCTTAACGAGAGGCTGTCAGTTTTGGCTGTTTCAGGCCTTGCTCCAGACTTGCTCCTGAGGAAGGGGTTCCTGGGTCCTGCCAGACCCCGCCCCCCAGACCCATGTCCCCTCTCTGCTCCCAAGCCCTGTCCCCTCTCCATCCTCTCACTCACTGACAGGCTCTTCCTGTGTGGAGGGGCCAGAGTGAGGGAAGGATGGGAGTCATCTGAAGAGCAGCTGTTGGCCCTCTCCAGCCTGGAGAAGGGGGAGCAGAGAGGGGTTCCACTGGGTCCGCCGAGGCCCCCGAGGCGAGAGCCATCAGGGGCAGGAATCATGTCCTCAGGGTCCTCTGGATCAGACTCTGTGTGACTAAGCTCTGCCTCTCTCTCTGGGTGAGACAAACTAATATCAGACGGCTTATCGAAAGGGAATGAGGATGAGCATCCCGGTGAGTGGGAGCATTCTGCGGGAGTGTACGGGGCTGAGACGCAGCGCGTGTCGATGCAGTCGGTGATGCTGGTGTACTCGGCCGCCTTTACCTGGACTCCTGCCCCCAGTCCACCATAGCAACCTCTCGGCGTGAACATGAGGCTGTGCGACTTGACCAGGGAGGGTTCGTCTAGAAACGACGTGCCGGTTGTGGAGAGGTAGCGACTGCTCTTGGAGCGCTCCAGCAGCCCTGCTGAGGGAGGCGGGGATGGTTCCATATCCCAAGGAGGTAGGCTGGTGTCTGGTAAGAGGTGCGCCGAGCACAAGGACAGATCGGCAGCCGCGCTGTCGTCGCACATGGCCCCGGCCGTTCCGCCGCTGCCCACTCGGCCCTCCGAGTGCCTGTCGCCCAAACCGCCTGTGGCAGTGCTGCCTAAGTCGCGGCCTCCGGGCAGCACCGTCTCCATGATGTCAGACTGCAGCGAGGAGTCTCTCTGCAGAGGCGGGACCATGCGGAGACGGTCAAGGAAGACCTCTGCGGGCCCCACCTCTTCAGAGGTCGAGACGTAGATGTCGATGCACGATGACGGGCGGTGCTGCTGGGAAACCGACAGCGTTGCCAGTGGGAGGGGCTTAGACTCCTTGGGGGCGGCAGCTGAGGATACGGATTGAGAGCTGTTGGCTCTGTGGAGGCTGAGGGAGCGCTCCTTGAAGAAGCTCTCGACTCGTTCAGATCCGCTGGTACGTTCTCCGGCCCGACCTCCTCCAACATAGAAGGAGTGGCTCCTCGCCCGCGCTGTCATGCCAGTGGGAGAGGGAGGGGACATTGAACCCTCAGCTGTTCCCTCCAGGGCTTCCTGCAGACGGTAAGCGTTTCCCTCTGTGCTATTAAAGCTGCTCTGACGGAGTATGTATGCTGCCTCTGGGCACTCAGCTTGGCGGAGTATGTACGCGGAGTCGGTGCAGTCAGAGGAAGTCCGAGAACGAGCTTTGCTGACCTCCACGCGATCGACACCTGTCACACGCTCCAGCGCGAGGGCGATTCGCCCAATCAGGTCTTCCATTTGGGCCAGACGGATGTCAACTGTCTGCAGGGACGCCTTCATGAAGTGTTCCCGCTCATTAACCTCCTCCAAACGCATTGCCATGTTTTCCACCCTGATAGTGCACAGGAGAAAGGAAAGACAGTTGCATGATGGTATGTGGAATTTAAAAGCTTCACAGTGCGCCCTACTATCAAAATCTCAAGTCTTCATTGATCTTCCTTGGTCTGCAGTTAAATTTCTTTTGTGTTTCTGTCATTTCTGAGAACATTTGTGTTCAGATTGTATATTTCTGACCCCAGCTTTCTTTCTTTCTTTCTTTCTTTCTTTCTTTCTTTCTTTCTTTCTTTCTTTCTTTCTTTCTTTCTTTCTTTCTTTCTTTGTAATTGTAGAGTGATTATACAAACAATGAAAGGCTGAAAATTGTATAAAGTATGAAAACTCATATGTCTCAGTGTAACTTTGTCTGACCTCTCAGACGTGACTCTGATCCTTTCATCATTAGAGGAGTGGAATCTGTCATCCTTCTCTCTGAAGTATTCCTCTATGCATTGCTCCTCAAAGTCATGGACTTTCTTCAGCTCATCCTCAGTGATGAAAAGCTCTGTGGATAGAAAATGACAGCATTAAGAGGACAATGTCATTTTTAACCGACTGAAAGTTTGACAATGCCTACTGCTCCAAACTTTGTGAGCAAAGTGTTACACCACTAAAGTGATACATAGCAAACTTAATAACAACACTTGTAAATATTGACTCTGAAAACACTAATGTTCACACTGGCTTTTTCCCCCAGCTTGACTGTGTACATCAGCCACTCACTCAGTCCGTAGTCCCGCTCGTCATCATCGTGCTTGCGCCAACGACAGCACAGATGCTTGAGGACCATAGTTATGTGACTGAAGATGATGAGGGGTGGAGGAAGGACAGGGCGTTCATGGAAGGTCATAATAAGCTGGTAACGCTGGAACTTCCACACTTGATTTGAGATGGACTTCACCTCGAAAAATGTATTACTAAGATCAATCAGAGAGATTCCAGATCAGCAAGATTGATTTCTTCCATATAAATTGCAATTGAACTGCATCCAACCATAATAGGATCATGAGGATCAAACGTTTGTGAAGGCTTATCAATGTGTGGCATTTTAATTGATGCCTTTACTTTGCAGCTCTGACTTGAGATGCATAAGGCATGATATGATTTTGTGAAACACTTTCAAAGTTTACCCCGTAAATAACTAAAAGTTTTGAGCTGTCTTTTTCTGTTTCCTTCCAAGATGGATGACACAATTCAGAAATAGATCATTATCACAGTAATTCTGTAGTGGAAGAATAAATATCCTATCATGGTAATACCACTGATTTGAGATCAACAACAAAAAAAAAACAATATTAAAAAACACAGACTCCTGTATCAAAACCTAATTTTATAAAAATCCGTACTGGTGTCATTATCTACTATTTATACAGTGATGTGGCTACGATATATTTATTTCATGAGGTTTACATACTTGAACACAGCTATGAGTAGATTAACCAGCAGTATGTTGGCCACCAGCAGATAGCAAGCCATGATGGCTGGAACAATCCAGGCACCAGTCTTGCAGGGAGGCAGAGACACTACCACCCCGTCTTCAGTGATGTTTTGCCCACAGGGAGCTGAATAAAGCCACAAGATAAAAACACATTAATACATTTCATACGGAAACTGATCTTTAAAATGACACTGACATTCAAGTGATGTTTGCACTGAAAGTTTTGATACAAGGTTATTTTGACATACATGCAAACATGTCACATGGATTGCTTATGCAGGTAAAAAATTAAATCTGTGTTCAAATCAAAGTAAATGAATAAACAGAACATACAGCTCAAACATATTGCACATTGAACATGGAGCCATAACAAACAAAAAACACAAGCAGACCAGAAGAAGATATCAAGCACAACTAAATACTTTGCAAACAAACAAGAAGCATAATTCATTCTTATGCTTCTTTTTTTGTAGAAAGGATTGGACAGAGAGCACACTATAAAGATAGGAGCTCATATTCACAAATGTGTATCTGTAAACAAAACAAACAAAACGCATTTGTCATGTGTCATGTCAACTTGTGTTGACAATATATCCAAACAGATGTTTAAAATATATTGCAACAAAAGAGAGCCATAGTTTCAATCCACAATGGCTGACTAAAAAAATCTGAAATGTATTCAGAAAACATAGAATGTTTTTTCCATCTGCGATGGTTCAGTTGCGGTGACTGGGGAACATTAAGTATTTGTTCTTGGTTTGTTTGCCTTTGAGGATAATTCTTTACAGGGTAGTCATTGCTTGGTGCTCAATTGTTTCACACAATGCAGCCCAAAGACAGAGAACTGAAGTAATATTTCGATATACCTTAAAAAGATTAGGATTTTTAAAACTCTGACAACTGAACCACGTGAAAAAACAGATTACTGGTGATGAAAAGTGACTAATAACCATGTTATGGTGTGAATTTGTGCACATGGGTTTTATTCCTGTATGATGTGGCTTGAGTGATTGCGTACATTTCAGTAATCAGTCCAGTGAAATGCTGATTATATTGGTTGAAATATTTCACCAATGATGAAGCTGCTCAAGTCAGTGGCCAGCATAAAGGGAAGGTGAAGTGACAACGCGACAGATGGCATTACTATCTTGGCAGTGGCACTTCTTCATATGAAACAAATTTACGTTTAAGTAAGATAAACTACGAGAACACCAAAGAAATATAAGATCTTTGATATTTTCGCTTCATGCTGGCTGATAAGAAACAAAGGCCATCATAAAAATAATAATCCACATTTGAAAAGTGATGCTGTCATATAATAGAACCATATGCCAGGCTAATGCCAAAACTAGCCAGAGTAAAGTTGCTTACAGGGTGCAGTCTGAGGTCAAGCTACAAGGTGTCTGAGTCAAATATCTGTGAGAGACACGAGAGTCATGCTTACGTTCACTTCAGATTTGCTTATTTACACAAATGCTGATATCTGTAGCTGACCTGAGATGTCAACATGAGGCAACTTTAGCCTTGGAGTGTGGTGTCGCATGCAAACTTTTGCCCTAAGTGGCCTCTGGTGGTACGCTTGAGCATGACATGGTGTTGATGTGAAGATGACGAAGGTGAGGTGGGATAGGCAGATGTGGTTAAATTGAGGTCTTTATGCTTAGATTTACTGGGATTTTGACTGCACTGGGAAGTGTGGAATGGACCGTTATTACGCCAGGTTCCGTAAGTTCGAAAGTAATTTTCGACCACCCAGAGTTTTTCACTCGACCTTTGCTTAAACTTCCTACTATGCCTTTCTGAAACAAAGAATGAAAACATTATTTCAGATCTCTTCTCTTTGGGCCACTCCTCACATTCTGTACACACTGTCATATACAGTCCTATACAAATAGACAACAAAACAGCACATAGATAGACTCCCTCAAAATGACATTTCTCCCATCCTCTTTTTGATTTTTTGAGTTAAAATCTCACTTTCTTAATATGGTATAAAATAAATGTTGAGACAACAATTGTCACGGCGAGAGTATACATTAATTTCCTTATGTGAGAGAGAAAGATTCACATCATGAGTCAACATCAAATTTTTAAAGATTTTTAAATGACCGTGCAGTTTTCTCTCACTTACAGCATTACTGATATATATTTTTTACAAAAGGGCATTTTCAAGTAATAATTCAGATTTATTTAATGAAGTAATTCTGCACTGAATCACACAACTGTTTTTTCTTAAAGCGTTAATAAATATAAATATATATATATATCTATGTATATATACATATATGTGTGTGTGCGCGGCGTGTGTGTTAACATATATACAAAAATATAACTATGCAAAAAAAACAAAAAAAACAATTCAATATCTTACACCCTGGACTTACGGTCAATCTGGTCGGCAAACACCTCTCCATAGATCATCCAATAGGGCATGAAGAAGATGTTCCTAGCTAGCATCCAAGATGGGTCTTCATTCGGGTTGAGGATGGCTTGGCGTGCCACCCCAAAACTCATGAGCACCACCAACATGATGATCACAAAATACATCATGTCGATCATCTGAGAGAGAAAATGGGCAGCACTACGTAAGATTATGTACAATAGGAGCAAATGTAATACAGATGCATTCCAAACAGTCTGATGGATAATACCAACTTTAATCCTACTGTTTTAATTATCATATTTCCCTGTATGTCAGTCCATTAAAATGAATTCAATTAGTTTTGTAATGAGACTTCAATAAAATAATATTTATTTGAAAAAAATGTGCCATATTTTCTCCAGCTAACTGATACTTTAATAGCTTCTGTGATGTGTTTTAAAAAAAATATATTTGAATATTTCTTATTGTGTTATTACTGAATGAACTTTTTTATGAGATCAAGCAATTTAGATAAAAAGGAACATGAGCTCAAAGAGAGGCAGCCCTGCATTGCCTTTACCAGTTACAGATAACAACTTCATAAAATCAGTGTGAGCTTCAGATCAACACTGACCAAAATAGGCAGGTAAATGGATACCAAAGAGCATATGAAAAAGGGAATGAATTATTTACTTCTGACATGAACAGAATGGCAAACAGACACACAGTTGCCCTCCCCTGCTGCCTCTCACCATCTTGCCAATCATCATAACGTAAGGCCCCAGGTACTTGTTGACTCCAAAGATGTCGAGCAGTCGGATGTACCAATAAATAATGTTGACGCAGTAGATAACCCGCCCGTAACTCATGAGGGGTGGCTCCTGGAGACGTAGGACCATGCCAACAGAAAAAATGAGGATGGCCATGAGGTCTGTGATATTCCAGTACTCCTGGAGCCACACTTTAACCTTCTGTAGTAACTTGCCCGGCTCAGACATCAGGATCTGAAAGATATGTAGGGAAAACATGGTGAGATTTTTCCAGGATATCCAGGTTTAAGCACATAAAATTGAACGAAACATGTATCCAAATGCATTCCATTTTGTAGACCATGAGAGGGCAGTATGAGTTCACTAATCAGAGACTGTCTGAGAAAGTATTAGTACAACCGAGAATGATGTGACATAATGATTAATGTATTTCAGAAAACATGGTACGGAAATTATTATACGACCAGGACGCGTTTTCTGTTCATTTGCTCTCTTTTTCCATTTCTGTTTCCTGCTGTCATCCTCACCTCCCTCTGACGCTGTCATTATTTTCCTGCCTACTTGCTGATACATGATCACATTTTTTCTTATCTGGTTTTAAGTGATTCATGAAAAAAATTACATTTTGCTAAGCTCTGCCATGCCAGATAGACAAAACTGACTTGCTCTATAGACTACTGTACATTAACTTGCTCTGTCAACTGCTAATAGTTCAGATTTTTAAGTACATATCTGAATTAACAGCGCATGTAGAATTTCAGCCACCGTCAGGTTTGATCATACCTCTCTCATCTTCTCAATGCCGTTGGTGAAGATGTAAGCAATGACGATCCACTCTTGAGCAGAAGGCCAGAGGTCCATCTTGACCAGGACAATGTAGTTGAACAACATCAGGTATCCTACATATGCCATCTGCATGGGAATAAAAGACAGAGGAGGAATGAGAGGGGCCATATTTGTGGTGACAAGCTTCTTTAGGCGCTTGTTTATGCACTTTTCTCATCTTAGCCCATTAGGCATTGTTGACATCACAAATATTATCATCATTCAACACGAACTCCTGATGAAAGCAGTTACAAACATTTTTTTTGTAGTTAAAAGATTTTTATTTCTTGTGACTGAGATTGTTGTCATTAAATCATGAAACCCCACCTTGTGGATGTTAGGTCAAATCTGACTGTCAAAAAGAAGCAGTTTGGAAAATCATGGAACAACATTAAATCGTAATAGACGGAGAAGTATGAACTGAGAACTACATTTTTAGAGAAAACCAAGCATCTGTTTCTACAAGTGCTATCATTTAAACATGATGTTGTTGTTCTTAAACCCAAAGGACAGAAAGGAGAGCCAAAGAGAATAGAGAGCAGTGAGGGGAAAAGAGTTAGATATTTATTTCACATAAATAAACAGTCAAACGTTCCAGTTGTGGCAAAGCGTTTCCATTTGTAAAAAGCCTGAGGGTGTGTGATCGAGGAAAACCATCTTTCCAGAATTATGTATATGCTGATAGGAAACACACTTAAAAAACACTATACGTACAATCCTACAATTCAATTCAAGTTACAGAATCGAGATGCTTGCTGGTGTGTATGAAGATGAAATAAAATCATACTGAATATCCATGTCCCCAACTTCTCCCAACACCCCTAAGGTCAAATTTATATGGAATATCAAAATTGTTTGTATGAATTACCTCAGCTAATAAATTAAAATTTTCACTTTTAGTAAAAACACCTCTTTAGTATTTGTGATTCGAGCCTTTCCCCCCTCATTGCTCTGCACCATGCTGTTACCACTCATCTCCCCTTTCCCATTTAACTTTCCCTCTGCAGTAAAGCTGTGTAACGACAGGGTGGAACAGCAGCCTAATGATGATGGAGACTGTTGGAAAGCGGAGGATGACAACGGGAAACTGCAGCTGATGCTGTTGTAGAAGAACAGTGAGCAAAAAACAATGCCAACAGGAGAATGTAGGAGTTATTGTTGAGGCCAACACTGACCGTATGGAACCAGAACTTGACAATTGGAGCGTTGTAGAATTCATATATCTTGCGTCCCATTGGAATAAGGCGATGGCGGTTCTGAACCTCCTCAACATCCTTCTTTCTGGATGTTTCTGTGGTTACCTTACCCAGCATTGCCTGGGCAAATACAAACCCCACATGGAGAGAGGGAGGAGGGAGTGTAAAGTGTGAGGATTTAAAGAAAAGAGTGGGAAGAGGGGAGCATGATTGATGGAAATGCATGGGAGGAGAAGTTAGCAGAGATGCAGAAAGAGGATGAAGATTAAGACAGTTCAGAAGGAAAGAGGTGGGATGGGAATAGCCAGATGGAAGAAATAAAGAGAAAAGAGAAAGGGTTATGTTATGAGCAGCAGCACAATTTGTATACCATAACCTAGCAAGCACAGGCAATGTCATCATTCCAAAATGTGAAATGTGTGTTTGACGTGGAGTTTGAGTGATACTGTAACACAGCATGACGCAGACATGGAAACTCATGGATTGTGTCTCAGACAAAAATAAGGAGGGAGAAGAAAAACAGAAAGATAAAGGTTGAAGGAGGACAAAAACAGGTGGAAAAAGATAAGACACACACATCTTTTTCACTCTGTGACACATTCCCCAATCCATGAGAGAGGGTTTGGAGCCCATGGTCTTAATGTCAGAGCCACACCAGATCTCTAAGGGAGTTTATTCATGGAATTGTATTGTAAATCTAGAAGCATTGCAGTGTTGTACAGCTGACGATGGTCCAAGTATTTGAGACACACCATCAGGGACACAGATCGGGTACAAGAGTGCTAAAGCAATTTATGCAACATGAGGTCAATACTTGCAGATGAAATTCAGTTTTTTCCAAGGCACGCATAGACAGGGCCTTAAAGAAGAGCAGATTGAGATATCACTGTGCAATTCATCCCATAAGTACAGACAGCTAAACGCGTAATTTGTTCAATTAGCAAGTAAACACAAAATATCCCACTAGCTATTACATGGATTACAGTGAGTATTATCCAAAGCGTCTGATGATACAACAATACAATCTTCCTCTGTAGTGAAGTAGTTTGTGTACATATGTATGAGTCTTTGTGTGATTCATAAAAATCTGAGGGGGCACTTGTGCAGTCAGAAGCCAAGGCAATAATGCGGGCTCATTGAAAATACATTATCTGGCAACAAGGTTCCTTGTTTGATACCAGAGTGTTTGCATGGCTTTAAATGTAGCAAGGCCCATTTAGTGGCAGTTTGCACTGGCTTACTGGTTGAACTGTATGCAGATGGACAGTATGTACAGTGGCACAGAATACGATCAGTCTCAGTTCGGTCATTTCATCTAATGACCATTGATCCAGTTTGGGCATTAATATAGCTTTTAGGAAATTTAGACCTTGTTTAAACTCACAAACTCAATCTCAGAATCATCAGTAGAACTGAGAGGACTGAAAGAGATCATATTCTCCCCGTGCTGTACATCCAGGTCTATGCAGATGAACAAACTCTTCCACTGTGAGCTGGGAGAAGGTGCTCAGACTCTGCATGATTAGAGCCTGGCCTGAGCAGGCAGACATGGAAAAAGCCTGGACCTCCCATGCTCAGCAGCTGACATGCTGAGTGGTATGCAGCAACGAGCCATCACTGATGGAATAGTGTGAGGGGCAGCAATCGACTGGCATACGGTACTGTACCTCAATCTGACCTGAGTTAGGAGAGAAGGAAAGAAAGAAGGAGAGACAGTGGGGTGGCAAAACAAAAGGTTTAAAGGCAAAAGAAATAAGGGAGGAAAGGGAGAGTTGGGAAGAGAGCAGGAAGAATGGAAGGGCGAGGGGAACAAAAGGAGAGATAGAGATAGGGAGAAACATACACGAGGGAACCCACAAGCGGCGACAGACTGAGACGCTACAACTCCACACTGTGTCCTTACTAAGACGATGGGAAACAGAAAAGGCCATTTTCACTGGAAGTGTCCAGCTGGCCAGAAGAGGGAAATTAGAACATGAATGTGGAAAACTGCGTGCCTGTGCTGTATGTGTGCATATCTCAGTCTTGGTCTTAAGTGGAACATTGCTTCAAATTGGTCCACAAGAGAAATTCACAAAGTGCAAATAATCTGGGCAACAAGATCAGAGACCAATCCTAGAATAGAATGAAGCGTGTATGTGTTGTCTTGTTTGTTTATGTGTATAGATACTGAGATGCGGGGCTGAGGTGGGTTCTCTCACCACGGAGTTGTACTGCGTCTCACAGTAAGATCTTACTGTGAACTCCATGTCTTCCTCCTCCTTTTCCTTGACCGGTTTCTCAGGCTCCTCCTCTTCCTTCTCCTGCAGATAGGCCTCCTGATCCTGGGGCATGTAGGACATTTCGTCCTTGTTCTTGAATTCCAAACTCAGGATCGATGGTGGCAGAAGTAGGCCTAAGATCACCTTGTTGATGAGGAAGATTTACAGGTAATTAAATGAGGGGACTGTTCTACACGACAAATCATATATAAGGCATAAGTATAGTAAGTCTTGTCTTGTGTTTCCTGCCTTAATGACTACTGCCCTGTTGCACTTATATCATGATTATAATGTGGTTTGAAAAGCACGACATTCTTTACAAACAAATAACCTGCATCAAGCATCCGCAAACCCCAAGCATGAGGATGATCCCACACACTGGTCACACGGACTCTTTACCCTTGTGCCATCTGGTGAGAGATACTGAAGCTTTCAGGCCCTCACAGCCAGATTGTGAAACAATTTCTCCACCCAAGGCCTTAGACTCTTGAACACACAGGGACAGGACTGAAAATACACACACACAGACCTCAATATCTTCTGTAACAACTATTTGTTAATACCTGTTCACAACTACTTGAAACTCTTTTCAGTCCACCATTAATATTTACTAAAATATTCAGTACATTATTACCTTGTACTTTATACTGTGTACGTCTCTTTACTGTACTGAGTTTGTCCCATTGTCCTGAGTTGCCTTGATGCACTGACTTTGGGTTTAATGTCTGCACAGAGAGTAATGAGATTTATGTTTTCCTGTCATCCTGTGCATGCATACACTTTCTGTAACTCTGTGCCAGTGGAGCACCATGGCACAGGAGGAACATAGTTTCATTCACTAGCTATCACTTGTATGTAGTGGAAATGGCATTACAGCTCTCCGGACCTTGACTTGACTTTGAGAAGGGCTCTCATTGCAGAATTAAATTACAAAAGCTTTACTTCAGACAGGCAGGAGGGATATCACGCTGCTGTAATTGAAAGAAGTGACACACACCCACGGCACATGAAAGATGTATACACCCAAAACACCTCAGATACAAAACAGTCAAACCTGTAAAGTAAGAACCAAGTGAAGTAAGTTTAAATCAGAGGGGGTAGGTGAAGAACGTGAGAAAAAAGATGTTAAGCTGGGTTGTCAAGTAACCTCTTCATCTCTGTGGGCTGCTGATTTACTCTCTCATTGCATGAAAGCCTGGTTTGAGTGTGAACTCAAATTTATTCAGCTTAGGCGTGCTTTAATTCCTGACCGGTCAAAGTTGGTCAACTAAGAAACATTTTCTAATGACCCTGGTGCCAGTGCAGTGAGATGACGGAATCAGAAAAGGTATGAATACAATCATTATAAGATGAAGGAACTGAGGTGAGGACTATAATTTACATCACAGCTCAGTGAGTGATGTGTGTGTCTTTGCTTTCCCTGTTACCATATTCAGGTACTACATCATCCACTCATGCCTTCCTTGTTGTTTATCTGCTCTGTTGAGCTTGCCTTGATAGGACACTCTCTTATTTTTGTCCTGCAATGGCCAAATGATACACACTTGCCTGGGTGTTTGTCAAAAAGCCAGTCAACAAGCAGGACCCATCAGATTGCCTCTCTCAGTGTCTGAATGAGCAGGCAACACTGTGCAACAACACCAGTTACATGTGGCAGCATGTGCAACCTGCATTTTTCTACAGATAGATATAGAGGGTTGAAGCAGGGCCAAGCACATAACCTGCCCTCTTATTCAGTTTGTTCAGTTTGATTTGTCCCATCATAATGTTACAATTCTCCCATAAAAACTAATCAAAATCATGCCGCATCTTGGTTATTTCTGAAGAGGTGGCGACTGTAAATCAAATCTTTTTAGAAAAAGTGTGAATATTCTGACATTTGTGATTGTCAAAAGTAGTTTAGTGTGGCCTGTAGCAGGAACTCAGACTATTAATGACCATATAGATAAACCATGTCCAAAAAAAAAGAATTGCAGTTAATTTACCGTGAGATTCATATTTCTGTATATATAAACTGTCAACAGTGGTATTTGTCATTGTGAAAAAGGGTGAAAACATATCCCAAATGAGTTTATTGGAGAATAAATATTTAACCAATCACCTACCAGAACATATAAGCAGGGGAAAGGAAGTCCATTACAACAAATCCCAGGAGTAGTTAGTAAGAAACAGAAGGCCATCTCTCACACTAACTGACCCTGAGTGTGTCATTGCAAGAAAACTGAACTGCTTGTGTAACAGGGCCACTTAGGGAAAAAAAGCAGCTCATGTGAGAAAAAACCCACTAACATTCCATGACTGTAGCTTTTCTCTATGCAGGAGTGGGTTCAATTCCTTCAAGCTAATTGAATGGAACAATTCCTAGAAGTGTTTAGCGGCACTTATTGCTGCTCAAGGGGTTCTAGTGGATGTTTTCTACAACAACGGATGAGTTAACCCAAACATCTGCTCCAGTTGTGCTACCTTCAGGCCTGAGTTCTTGCGCATACGGAGGCGTCCCATCCACATGTCGGTCAGCAGCATCTGACTGCAGGTGTGAGCGATGAAATCTCTGTGCTTGGCTGCTACCGCCAGCTGCAGACAGGTGGCGTTGCTCCAGTTTTTCAGCTCGTATGTGAGCAGCTTCATGGCCATCTGCTCGTCCTGTTTGTAGGACTGATCCAAGAGCTCCACTGCTAGCTGAGCAAACTCTCTGTGGATATATATATATGCAAACATATATGAAAGCATTCGGGAACAGATGTCAACGATGACTTGGTTAAAACAACACAAAGACGTTCTCTGATTGATGATTCCTCATTGATGTGGTTTTTGAGACATTTCTTTAAGCGTTGAAGCCAAAATATGTTAATAAATGGGGAATTTAAAGAAATGATTGACCCTTCACTCAAAATAGTAAAATTCTAAATCATGCAACTCAGTGGTATTTTAATCTACCCTTCCAGGGTATCAAAATATAAATCACACACAATTAATGTATTGTCCTCCTCTCAGTTTCTGAAACTATAGTTATCTTCATATCTTCACAAGTAGGTACAAACAAAGACCCTCATAACCACCACGCATTAAGTAGACAACACAAGATATAAAAATGTACAGTACAGAGTCCAATAAGCTTCTCGAAGGAAGCCAACATATTCTCTAAGGAAATTTCACTTAAAATATGCCAGCTCTGAGGCGATCCCTTGAAACTGTGTGTGTGTGTCTGTTGGGGGATTTAGTAAGCCTCTTTTTCATTTGCATGATCTAAAAATGTTTTCACCTAATTAACAGTGATTTCCGGAGCCAATATTCTACACTGTGTTACCTTAACTAACGATGACTTATGCTGTAAGATTTCTGTATTGATATTGCATACATTCCAGGACTATTGAGAGAGAAGAGGGAAGGAGGGGGGCATGTTGCTGTGTTTCCAGCTGTCCTTTTAAAATGAACCATATGGGCAGACATTTCCATGCAGACCGCTAAATGAGCTTTGTATACATAATTTATTGCAATAATCTTTTCATTTTTTTCAAGTTTTGCTTGTCTCTGCAATAGTAACAAACTGTGTGCCACTGGTCACACGTTGAATCAAAGATAGCCTGGCTGGAGGTGAGTCCTTAGTATCTCTTTTGTACAACGATATCATCTTTTGACCTGACCTTTGATAAAGGGCACTTGGGTGGTGCTTGGCAAAGAAATGCAGAAAGAGGATTATTTCTTTTCTGGTAGACTCTGGTGGAGGGCTACTTTCAATTGTCCTTATTCCAGCACATCCCAAAAATGCTTAACTGGCAACTAAACCACTAACTTCGGCACTTAGTCGTGTTGCTTTATCAGTTAATGACCAGCCTTGGGTGGTGTTGTAGGGCACATTATCCTGCTAGTGGTGAGCTGCCTTAACATAGGATTAGGAGAGTGTTCAATCTATAACAGTGTTTAGATGGGGTTCATGATGAATGACAGGACCTAATGTCTCTCTTCAATCTATGTTAGCAACTGAAACTGCTGGATTCTCCTGTTGTGACTGACTAATCTACACGTAAAACCTTAACGGAATAACAATACAAGCAAGACAAGAGAGCCAGTGTGTGTTTCACTGCGTGTGCATTATTCATATCGCTTACCTAGAGTTGTGGTTCAGCTCTTGGGAGATGTCGTCCACCATGTCGTTCTCTGACGCTTCGTGTGCCATGGCCTTACAGAGCTTACATGCCACCAGGGCTTTGGCCATGGCCTCCTCACCGTGCTGCCAAAAGAACAGCGCCATTTTCTGACGTTTCATAAGCACAGCCCACACCATCAGTTCATGGAAGGGGAAAGGGAAATGGTTGATTTCTGGGTCATCCAAGTCAATGTCCACCTCCTCTTCTCGTTTCCGTGTCGTCTTCTGGCGGCCTCTACGGATTGGCATGTCATCCTGAAGAAGATCAACCACACGTATGAGAGGTAGATGCATAGACGTATTAGAAAACCTCTTTCAAGTGGTCTTTAACAAAATGGTTATTGATATTGAGAGTGATTTCTGAACATTGTTTGATCTGAACTAGAAATTAGCACACTGGCATAAATACAGCAAGACTGATTTAATAAAAATAAATAAATCAAGAAGGATGAGGCACTGACACACAGGGATTTGGACTCAAAACACACAATAGGTTAAGACAGCCATGCAGACTAGATATAAATACCTCTGAAACATATGCTGGAGTAAATCCTTGTGCATACATATTGGATACATGTCAGTACATCTATAATGTAATCTTATTAGCTGTATCACTACATGTTATGTTTAGTTAAATATACATGGAATTACTCGACTATCATAACACACATATAATACACTGTTACAGTGACTGGGAATTTTGAATTTTAAGAATCTGGAATGTTATGAGCCTTAAAAGTATTATTTTGTACTTAATTTGTTTAAGACAAGTTTAACTGAAGTTGATGACATACAGTTGACTGATTGTTTGAAACTATGTGCTCAGTGGAATATAAAAGCTGCAATAGAAGTTAAACGAACAAACTTCAAGGTCCTTTATTCAAACACTATGACTCACACAGAATATGCCTGACTACAAGATTCTTTTGCTCAACACTGACGAAAGATTTAGTGATCAATAGAAGTGTGAAGACTTGAAAAGTGAGGGAGAGGAACAAAGGAGGAATAACTGAAAAACAGCCTTGGTTGTGATCAAAACTCACCTCCATCCCCAGCAGTTTCAGGGCTTTGGGCTAGAAAAGTAACCAAAAACATATATGAATATAATAAGACCTTCAGTGTATGTAGAATATATAGAACTGAGAAATACAAACACCACATAGCACGGAGTTAAGAATGGGCCGAGTCACATCTGGTTATAAATATCCTTCAATGCCAATAATAATCGTTTGAATTTAATGGATAACTTTAAAGGTGAACCAGTGCTGAAGTATGCATTATGCATACTTCAGCACTGGTGTGACTGACAAAAAACTAGACATGAGACAATATTGTCTCAAAGCAGCATGAATAAGAGCAAAGCACAATTGTGCTTTTTGTATATCACTGTGTAGCTGTTAAATAAAAATCAGGGCATGTATGAATTATGCATTGATGGGCCATCATCTGAGCGGATAAAAATAACCAAGGTTTCCTGAGGGAATTTTGACATCTACAACTATTTCAAGGGTTTGTTTGCACATGACTGTGATCCTACACGCAGTTTATCTACAAAATCACAATGAACGCAATGCTTACTCCCTCATTTTGCTCCTGGAAACTTTCTGTTATCTTTCTTTGGTACAATGCTGTTTTCTCCAAAGTTTATTTCTTTCCTTCATGTCATCTAACAGACAAATGAGCATGCCGACACTTGCAGGCATCAAAATGAGCGACGAATGGAAAGAGCTCCCTCACCTGGCTTATGAATTTCAGTATGTTTAGAAGTGGATGTCATCCACGTATATAGCTATTTGTATGATATTCAGTGTTTTTGTTTTCTAATCATCAGACCATTCATGCTTTTGCTCCTCAGTTGGGACAGAGTAATCCTGGAAGATTGCAGTATCCCATCAATGTGGGAGTAAGTTATCATTGGATGACGGTGCTCACTCAAAGCTCCTATGTGTTGACATGTGGACCCTAACTACATCAGCAAGATGCAAAACAGTTCATTTGTCCCTTCATCATCAGTAGGTCAGGCCTCTGCAGTTGTCTCTGTTTCACCTGACCAACTGGGTTTTATCTCTTTAAACTTGCACGGAGGGTTTTTGTAGCACTTATCTATTTTATGTGCACTTGTCTGTGTAATGAGCCATATAGTTTTCGTAACAACCAAATCATAGCAATAACACATTGAAATAGGAATACAATATCCCTCTACTGCTGACAGACTGTTTCTGCTCATTACTTTTTAATTTTTTTGTACTGTACACCCACCCTGTACTGTACACATAAAATCACGAACCCACTCTCATAAAAATGACTGAAGTGCACAATTAAACAGGATTGCATTGCTTCAGGCACACCTGTCTTTAGCTCTGTTTTCATCACAGCTGTGACGGTGCGTGAGAAGTGGGGGAGACAGAACAAACAAAAGAATATTGTGTAATGTGTAGTGTCTGTTGCATTAAACACACAACCAACAAACACCTTTCAGTATCAGTTGTCACTTCCTCCACTCGGCTCGAGTGTACTCAAGAGTGAAAGGATTTTCTGTAAGCGCTGCAATGGCGTGTTCATTTCTGTAGCTCGTGCTGTTACCTGATCATGAGCTAGTATTGTCAAAGCAAGGTTAGAACAACTTCTGCTATTGCCTCTTGGTGGTATGTTTGACTTTTAAACACACCTCAATCGAATTCAAATCACAGCTACTGTCATGAAATTGAATTCCAATGCAAAAACCTCCCCGTCATTTTTCAGTTCATGCTGGTCTTTAATAAATGTGTTCTTAGACGTGTAATTTTGGCAGCCAGGCTTAGATGTGTGAACTTATCATTTATCACTTCATAAATAGCAGCAGATTTTGGACATATCTGACAGGGACAATGTGAATCTGTGGTACTGTGTTTTCAGAGCTTCTAATCTCACCCTTTTAGGTCCAAACAAGTTATGGTATAGAGTCCTGAATCTCTTCCTGGTGTAGTTACATCGATAGGCCCCACCCATGAGGTATTCGATGACCAATCCAATGTCGATGAGGCTGATGCGGTAGTCCGGGGGCAAGTTTCCCTGCAAACGGGACAGTGTTAACGGGCAGCAACCCACACAGGCTGTTTAACAAAGGAGGAGGAATTACAGTACAAAAAGAACCACACAGTCATACAAACTCAAAATCCATAACAAACTTTTTGGCTACAAATGAGAAACTTGATTATCGGATTCACCTTGAAGTAGATCCAACTGAACCCTGGATATTCTCGCTTGGAAAAAACACACAATGTCAGTGAGTAAACCGTACGATAAGCAAGAGAAGGGGAAATCAGGTGCAAAGAAACTCTCAGGCAAAAGATCTCTCAGTCTGATTGTTTTAGTGTTTATTAGTTTATTATTGACTATGTGAGACTTATTTTGAATATAGAAATCTGAAGATGCATACGTCTTCCAATACTTCTATAAAAATTATTTATAGAAGTCAATGCCTATTGACTGTTACATATATTGTAAAGAATTAATCAAATGGTGATAACCTTCATTAAGAGAAATAGAGACCTTTCCATTGAGGTTCAATGCAGATTTGGAGGAAGAAATGAGGGGACGTAATGACTCACTAGACTGAATAAGAGCAGCAATAAGCATGGAGTAGCTGACAGAAAGCTACTAACGCTGGTGGGAATAGTCCTTATTAAAAAAATAAAAAATTGTTGCTATAACTGTGTTAACATTACTTCCGACTCTGCTGTTGCTCCAGCCCCTGTTGTCTCAACTATATAACTTAATATATATTTTGAACAATTTCTTGTCTCGTGTAAGCAGATTATTCAGAACATCTTCTTTGTTCAGTGCAATAATTAATTTCTTTGCTCTGGCTCTAAACATATTAGAAAAAGTGGGCCTAGTCAAATAGTTGTTTGTTGCTTTGAAATATTTGAATAAAGGGCTTTTTGTTTTTACATTTTTTAGAATAATACTTGGACATCTGACATGTCTGAATATCTCCCAATGACAATGTGATCATGGAGATTTCTTATTGCAGCAAACAGCTCTTGGACACCATATGATATGAAAGACCTTAAAAAACATACACATCTAATAGACACATGTGTAGTCTTCACAGTGGAATTATTTGATTAATTTGGAGCCATTTTTAAATCAATCTATTATTTGGTATCTACATTCATACAGGAATGGAGTGGAGGAACCAGCCAATGGAGCACAATCAAACAACTGGCTGTTGTGATTAAAAGTAATAACAGTTTGTTCATACCCTTTGGAAATGCTCTTTAAAACCTCACAGCGTTGGCATCTAATTTTCAAGTAGCCACACTCAGAATCGTGGCTAAGCTAGTAGCTGTGAAGGCTAAACCTCTCTTCCTCCCTCCATACATCTCCAATGTGGTTTTACTACAATACTTTAGGCGAGGTGCTTTAATATTAGAGGGAATTATCTTTTCAAACACATGGAAACTTGATCACGACATGGTGTAATGTAATGCACATTATGCTATCAGAGCACAGCATCCACACAGGGGTCATGGATGCTCATGACCTACACATACAGCACAACTCAGTTCCTCAAATTTTTCCTTCTCTTTAAATTGGTAGTTATTAAATAAAACTCTGATTTAGCATCTCTTTGAAATGTTTTGATTTTTTCACACACTTCCTGATATTTGGGACACAAAAGTGAATGGTGAAAAACCACGAAAAACGGTCCCTTTTCTGCTGTAGCAAGTGCAGTCAACGATTGAACATATGCAAATCACTGACTTAATCTTATTTAAAACCAATCAAATGGACCAGATTATACATGGACCAGTTGGCATAGGCTTCACCACCAATTTAACATCACCCGTAAAGACAAAAAAAATCACATTTGTTGGCAGATGAGCACGACACTCCTCAGGGAAATTTACAAAAGAAAGGAAACAGTGATGACTTACAGACTCCACCCAAATGACAGCTGCTAACTCTCATTAGCATCACACTATGATACAATAAAGACAAAAACGCATAGCTGCACTACTGCAGTCACACACAGCTTTGCACAAAAAAAGGATGGTAACATAGCATGCACTAGCTTGTTTGTTTTGTGTGCAGATATGTCCCTTCTTGGCAACAATGATCACAGGATCTTTAGAACTATGGAGCTAAATAAAAATAATTATTACAAAAATGATGTCAGTTTTACAAATCAACTAAAACTATACAGCTTTTAGGTTCTTCTTCATAACCCCTTTGGTGTGTTTATTGAGGCTTTCCAAATCCAAACTTCATGTTGTGTTGATAAAGTCGTATTCAATACATGTAGCCTACTGTTTATTTACCATGAGGCTGTGTGCTCTAGAAGAAGTAGATATGTGAGTCATGAGAGGGATGAGAGACGTGCAAAGCTCTACTCAGGCACCTCAGCCCGAAACTCCATTTCAGAGAGAAAAGCCGGCCTCTATATGCACTTCACAGCTGCAAGAGCTACTAAAATGTACACACACACAAAGGTGCAAACAGAAGAACACCCGCACATCACATAAAGAGCAACTGAAACTCTATGTGTTCAAACATATCTTCTTTAATATAAAACATTCCCATCCAATGTTTGTGAGCAGCTACAGAGCTACTGAGACGGCAGCCACTGTCATACCTTTTTGACATCTCTGACCAGGTGGTACAACGTGTTCGATGGTCCGTGCCGCTGTAGAAGATAAAACAAATAGAAGGTGGTATAGTTAAACAGCGATTTTTTAGGAAAGACTTTGACGTCCCTTTGTATGTGCGATTCTTATTACCGTGTTGTAGAGCTCTTCCAGTCTGGAGAGTGTGAGGAAGCGGTGCATGCTGACTCCATTTTCAATAAGCAGCTTGACAAAGTCCACTCTGTCCAACACTAAGGCATCCAGCATTGCCTGCTCCAAGGAACCAACCTAATGCACAAACAGAATTA